CATTTTTTCAGTATAGAATAAAACCTAAAGTTCAAATTTAAAGCAGCTGCAGGAAATACTTTCCCTTTTTGGACAATTTTTGGCGGTAAAAGGAAATAAAAAATCCTCTGACGAAATATACACTGTTTTGGTTTGGGTTTGAGTCGTCATATGTGTTTAAAAGACTACATTGCTCATCGTTATACACTGGAGAATTTAAAATATGGCATTCATCTTCAACAACATTGAGGCTCTGAAAACATTTCCTGTCCTCTAAAGGCTTGTTAACATACCGTCATTATTCAAACTGGATAGGAGCGGTGGCATTTCTAAACTTGGTCAAGACGCCCCTGTGGGCTCGGATCATAGGACGAGTGACATACTCATCAACACTCAAGTCCATCTATAACAGCAGTATACTTTAGGGGCGGTCGGGGAGCCTAGTGGTTAAAGCGTTCGCTCGTCACATCGAAGACCCGGGTTTGATTCTCAACATGGGTACAATGTGTGAAGCCCATTTCTGGTGTCCCCCGCCGTGATATTGCTGGAATATTGCTAAAAGCGGCGTTAAACCATACTCACTCACTCACTCACTCAGGATACTCTAAGTATATTACATCCCTACAGAGACAAACGTTTTACACGTGTGACAATAAACCAGGGCCAAAACAGTTGTCTGGGGGAGTCAAATGATTACACACTAAGGCCTACCAGCCGGGTGCGTAAGTTATTATATATACTGAACCAAATTAAAAATTTCACAATCCTCAAATTTTAACATTTTGACCAGTTATCATTGTGGGCCCTTATTGTGTATTTAAACAGTAATGGCCACGTGTTGTCTTCAGATAACACCCTTTTTGTGCAGGTGAATCGATCAAAAATCATGTGCACAGCACTATAGTGGCAAAAGGGTTTTTTCACGTGCAACTGGTCACGTGGCCATAATACCGCACGTGTTTTCAGCAATACTTGTTAGCAGTCATTAACAAAAAAAGAAAAACACAAGAAAACAAAAGTCTTTACGGCCATTTGTCATGCCACTCCTTTCAAATGTGCAACGTGAACGTGCCATTGGCATGTTGCAGACGGGAACGTCCGTAGCTGAAGTCGCAAGGACGATGGGTTGTAGTCGAAGGACTGTTTATGATATACAGACGCGTCTACAGCAAACGGGTACCACCGCTGATCGCCCTCGGCCAGGTCGACCACGTGTGACGTCACATGCAGAGGATCGTCAGATTGTCTTACGTCACCTCCGTAACCGATTTTTGACGGCTACATCAACCAGAAATGAACTGTTAGGGGTAGACTGAGTGCGCAAACTGTTCGAAACCGTCTGAGAACTGCTCACCTTCAAGCACGACGGCCATACTGCGGGCCGATTCTGACTCAATTACACAGAAGTCAACGTCAATTGTGGGCACAGCGACACTTACGATGGACTCAGAGGAATTGGAATCAAGTCGTCTTCAGTTATGAATCCTTATTTAATCTTCGATTTGCTGATGGTAGGGCGAGGGTGTGGAGGCGCCGTCATGAACGTTACAGATTTCGAGGCGGAAGTGTCATGGTGTGGGGTGCTTTCTGTGGCAATGCTCGTTCCAGGCTTCTTGTCATCCGTGGCAACCTCAACGCTGCTGCTTACCGCGACCAGGTACTGGCACCAGAACTTCTGCCTTTTATGGCAGCACATGGACCCGGTTTGATCTTCCAACACGACAATGCCAGACCCAACACAGCAATTTTGACAAGGAATTTCCTTCAGAATGCGGGAGTCAACGTCATGGACTGGCCGTCAAGGTCTCCCGACCTCAATCCCATGGAACACGTCTGGGATGCTCTTGGCAGAAGTCTGCGCACTCTCCAGAACCAACCACAGAATTCGCAAGATCTTGGCACCATTTTGCAGCAACAATGGCTTCGTCTTCCCAACCATGTGTTCACAAGCATCACAAGGTCCATGCGGCGGCGTTGTGTGGCAGTTGTCAACGCACATGGTGGCCATACACGCTGCTGAACTTGTGTGCCATCAGATTCTCGTGCTTGGGACTTATGATTTAAACTGTTGATGTTATTACCGAATACCTTAGGTGCTTGGACAATTATGGTTACCACCGTTAATTAAAATCCTTCTTTGGACATTAATGATTAAAAATTACCTTCTCTGATACATTTGTCCGTTGTATATCATATATGGGATTACTTTTAAAAATGTGAAGTTTTTAATTTAACTTAGTATATATTGATGAGATTTTCTTTCGTCTGGTTGCCCAGAGATTAGTCCATGAAAAGATTTTACGAGTGATTCGATCTTCGTTCAGATTACAGTGAGTGAGTGAGTTTAGTTTAACGCCGCTTTTAACAGTATTCCATTTGTATCACGGCGTGTCAGCTTAAAATGGAAGGAAGGCCCGAAGTGATGCAGGTCTCAGACGTTTACCACTTCGGTGAAACCCACGAGCACGGGTATAGTGCTGACAGACCTAGAAACATAATCGGGGCGAACCGGGATTCGAGCCCACAATCATAGGTTTCTGGCATGCCCAAGGGACGAAACTCTGCACAGCGAATCGCGGCGCCTTGGACGACTGGGCCACCCGTGCCCCCTCAGATTACAAAGACGTTTAAATAATTCGCAGACTACGGGTTGGGTGAAAGCGTGAGCGAGTATGATTTTACGCCGCTTTTAGCAATATTCCAGCAATATCACGGCGGGGGACACCAGAAATGGGCTTCACACATTGTACCCATGTTGAGAATCGAACCCGGGTCTTCGGTGTGACGAACGAACGCTTTAAACAATAGAGCCTATATGATCAGAAACAACGCTTTTGTATGTGAGGTGAGGTGAAATTCGGTTTAACGTCGCGACCAGGAATATTGCACTTATATAGCGACGTGCATGCACGTGTGTGTGTGTGTGTGTGTGTGTGTGTGTGTGTGTGAGTGTGTGAGTGTGTGTGTGTGTGGCACGTGTACTAGTCCGGACTGAGATACCATGCCGCAGTTTTAACATGAATACCCAACTCAGAAACAGTATACTTACTCCGAGCCCACCAGTCCTTGTTTTAGCTCCTTAATGCCGAGCGCCAGACAGGGTAACAACAAGTATCATCTTTTAACGTCTTTTGGTATGACGCGGCCGGGGATCGAGCCGCAGACCTTCCACCAGACCACTCTACCACTAGACCACGGAGGCGGTCCGCTTCTGTATGTACTCGTGCTGGGGAAGTAGTCCGTCAGTCGTTACGTCATTTCCTTAATACAGTCTCGTGAAAAACGTATGAACGTCAAACTGCGTCGTTCATACGCTTATGAACGTTAGCTCCGATGTCACGTGACTGGCCTCTCGTCCAACGGAGAGGCCGTATATCGTTTAAACCTCACATAAAGAATTATTTCAGTTTATTGTACACATGACAGGGGAGAAGTGTGCCATACTTGTAACGTAAGATTCAGTCCATCCAGAGATTACTTCAAAAGCGACTGGGGGCGGTCGGGTAGCCTAGTGGTTAAAGCGTTCGCTCGTCACGCCGAAGACCCGGGTTCGATTCCCGACATGGGTACAATGCGTGAAGCCCATTTCTGGTGTCCTCCGCCGTGATATTGCTGGAATATTGCTAAAAGCGGCGTAAAACCATACTCACTCACTCACTCACTCAATCAATCAAAAGCGACTGAATCTGTCATAATTCGGTCGATGTGCTCATGCGGCCATGCGGGCTTGAGCTTTTCCAGTTTTAACTTAATAACTTGAAAATACAATCCTATGAAGTTGCAGTTCTTAAATAGAACTATATTTCTGCAGAGGAAACAGAATAAGCTTCAAATTTAAGTGTGTGTTTTTTTCTCTGTGAATATAACTGTTCTATGTCATGAGATCAGTGTCACTCTCATGAATCTTGGTTGCGTGTGGAGGGAGGGGGTGGGGGTGGGGGTGGGGGTGGGGGTGGTTGGGTTGGGTTGGGTTTGGGTTTGGGGGGGGGGGGGGCTGAGCTGATGATGAGCCTAACCAGCCTGTCTGTGCCAGGATCACCCAATCCCTATTTGTTGCATTTTTTATTTTGTTCTGTAAATAATAACAATAATAATAATAAACCTGATCTTGTCCTTTTAGATAAATCCAATGAAATCATTTGTATCACTGAATTTTCTGTCCCCTTTGCCAGTAACGTGATTGACAAGATTGAGGAAAAACATGGCAAATATGCAGACATCGCTTTCGGTATGTCACGCTTGCATCCCAAGTACCAAGTTGTCCGACTCCCCATTGTTCTCGGTGCCTTAGGTTTGGTACCTCCCAATCTGTTGACTGACATTGGGAGAGTACCCGGGTTTGCTAGGACATATGTAGGATTGTACAGAATTTCACTCAAATATGTGCATGTTTAACAATGTGACCTGACAATGTAATCATGAATTCCCTGTCACTTATCTACGTTGTTGTTATTGTCAGCAGCTGGGAAATCCCTGTGACGTCATTGGGAAAACACCCCGCTTTTCTATCTCCAACACAAATGAGTTCTCTGTCAGAGTTACGATTGGTATCGTAGCTCTGAGCGATCTGCGACAGGTTTACGATAGTTTCGAAAATCTAACTTATCTTAGCCTTAGATATCTTATCTTTAAACGTAAGTTGTTAAGATTTATCTTAGCTAAGATCGTTTCGAAAATCTAGGCCCTGGGTGGGATTGACAAGGCAGCGCCTCCTGGGAGATGTCCCATTCGCTGTCTGGGCGGCGTGTAGAGGGGACAAGGGCCCCTGAGCTGATGATGAGCCTAACCAGCCTAACTGTGCCAGGATCACCCAAACCCTCTTTGCTGCATTTTTTATTTTAATCTGTACATAATGATAATAATAATTTTCCCCATAACTAAAATATTACACTATGAAAGATACAACAGTACGTTCAGAAATAAACAATGTCATGAATAAGATGGAATAGTACATAATTGTGGTGTATTCATTTGAATTTTACACCGTATGTAAGAAAATTCAACAATGGGCTGTGTGATATTGTATACACTATTTATTGAATAATTTTCAAGGGTTACAATTAGGAGATAAACATACTGTGTTTTCAATGTAGAGCTGGGTTAACTGTAGATTAACAGCGCTAAATTGCCCTTGGAACCTAACGCGCACGCACGTCACCGTTATGACGTCATATGACTGATTGTGACACAAAGATATAACGTCACAGTCATATATAGAAAAGCGCCAAATTCCAAGCTCTCTATTGTCTCCAAAACGCAAATGCATTCTCTTTGTAGATTTCTTTCGTGTTTTCTGTACGAAATGTATTGCCACACATCCTTTGAATAATGTAGTAACCGCAACCTAGGATTTTGTAACCTGTAATTGTAGATATCATTATTTAACAATGACTGAAAAATGTACTATTCTATGAATATTAGCTTCCGTGGTAATGCGGCCGTCAAACCAGCTGTTTCAATCAGAGGGGGTTTATTGTGATTTATAGCATCCGATTGACCAATCAGAATCGAGTAATATCCAAATTCATGGTAGAATGTAACACATGTACATAAATGTTTGTAGTTAACCTAAGCCCTGACGTCGATGTTTTGTTTGTCAATTTCTTCTATATATTAATAATGCACATGATTTATGCAAACATTTCTTTTCACCACAGTGAACACATTTTCAGCGTGATTTACAGAACATTTGGTGGCGAGAGTGTAAACAATGAACAATGTAGTTTGCCGCTATGGTAAAATCCAGGAAGTTTGTCCGGGGTTGTTCGAGTAGGCGTGGCTTATGAAAAGAACCGCACCGATATCCCTCCCCTATGGATAATCGGGGATATCATGTCATCTCTCGCTTCATCATTCCCCATCGTGGTCTGTGGGGGATCCATTCACTGCCTCCCGGGGTGCCTCGTGTTTCGAGCACATTCTGACTTTCTTCGTCTCAGCTCCATGTTGCATTAACATGTCGTCCATTCGCCCGTCAAACAGCCCAAACATCCCCCCTGAAAGAAGATGAATTATTTTAAAACGGATGATAATACAACTTTCAAAATCTTTGTTTGCAATATAGTTTGCCAGTCGACTAAGGACGCTGTGAAGAGTTGCGTCCCTTCGGTGTGCCAGAAACCTGTGATTATGGGTACGAATCCCAGATAATCTCCTATTAATGTTTCTAGGTTTGTTAGCACCATTTCCCCGCTCGTGACCTACGTTACTTCGGGATTTCCTCCCACACCGCGCTGACACGCTGTGATGTAAGTTACAAACTGTTCAAAGCGACAGTAAACAAGACTCAGCACACCTGTGTGTAGAAAGAGGGCCCTCCGTCCCTCCGTCCCTCAGTCCCTTAAGCGAACGGGGCTGCTCTTCATCTCCTGCACCGCCCCCAGAGTACTTTGGCCGTGAAGGTGTGTGTGTGTGTGTGTGTGTGTGTGTGTGTGTGTGTGTGTGTGTGTGTGTGTGTGTGTGAGAGAGAGAGAGAGAGTGTGTGTGTGTGTGTGTGTCGGGGGGTGCTGGTGGACCATCTACTCCCCTTCTACACCACACATGACCCTGAGTGAGTGAGTGAGTGTGTGTGTGTGAGAGAGAGAGTGTGAGTGTGTGTGTGCGTGAGTGTGTGTGTGTGCGTGCTTGTGTGTGTGAGTGTGAGAGAGAGAGAGAGAGTGTGTGTGTGTGTGTGTGTCGGGGGGTGCTGGTGGACCATCTACTCCCCTTCTACACCACACATGACCCTCCCTGCCTTGAAACGACTGGGGTTGTTTTTCATCTTCTTCTGCACCCCCCAGTGTGCCTTGCCCGTGGAGGGGTCCATCAGCAACAACCCCCTCCCGCTACTCACCTGTGTGTACGAAGAGGACCCTCCGTCCCTTGAAGCGGCCGGGGTTGTTCTTCATCTCCTGCATCACCCCCCAGGCCGCCTTGCCCGTGTAGGTGGGGTCGACCAGCACCCCTGTTGTACTGCTCACCTCCACAATGAAATCTGACAAGGTTGAACAATCCTAATAAAACATTAGTAATTTCACCTGACATCAGCAAGTATAAATAATTACCTCGAATATCAACGTCGTTAAATATTAAAGATTATCTCGCTCAGACCCCACTGTGTGTACTTGGGATATTTTATTTGTCTTTGCTAGAGATCGCCGAAATGAACGAGACTCAGATTTGTTACTGTGACTTTACTGTATCATCTATATTTACTTTCTGAAAGCAGTAGCTGATGATGAGGTTTTGAGATTTTTCATCTTCCAAATAAGAGTTAGGAAGCTTTCCATCCCTTCATCTCCGAGTGATTCTAACGGAAAGCCTGTCAGCACATCGGCCCTGACTGGAAATATTCCTTTCAACAAATATATCAGGTGTTGAAATTTCATTTTCAAAATCAGAGTTGGAAAGCTAAATAACTAGAGCGAGATTTACCTTTTTTAAAGTTGAAGATGTCAAAACAAAATCTGAAAGGCTCGAACACAGCAGCGTCGATAGCTTTGGAACTTTCAGAACAATGGTTAAAAGGATAGGAATACAAGAATTTTGTTGAGATATGGAGCTTTCAGAACAATGGTTAAATGGATAGGAATATAAGAATTTTGTTGAGCTATGGAGCTTTCAGAACAATGGTTAAAAGGATAGGAATATAAGAATTCTGTTGAGCTTTGGATCTTTCAGAACAATGGTTAAAAGGATTGGAATACAAGAATTGTGTTGAGCTATGGAGCTTTCAAAACAATGGTTAAAAGGATTGGAATACAAGAATTGTGTTGAGCTATGGAGCTTTCAGAACAATGGTTAAAAGGATAGGAATATAAGAATTCTGTTGAGCTATGGAGCTTTCAGAACAATGGTTAAAAGGATAGGAATATAAGAATTCTGTTGAGCTATGGAGCTTTCAGAACAATGGTTAAAAGGATTGGAATACAAGAATTGTGTTGAGCTATGGAGCTTTCAGAACAATGGTTAAAAGGATAGGAATACAATAATTTTGTTGAGCTATGGATCTTTCAGAACAATGGTTAAAAGGATAGGAATACAAGAATTGTGTTGAGCTATGGAGCTTTCAGAACAATGGTTAAAAGGATAGGAATATAAGAATTTTGTTGAGCTATGGAGTTTTCAGAACAATGGTTAAAAGGATTGGAAAACAAGAATTGTGTTGAGCTATGGAGCTTTCAGAACAATGGTTAAAAGGATTGGAAAACAAGAATTGTGTTGAGCTATGGAGCTTTCAGAACAATGGTTAAAAGGATAGGAATATAAGAATTCTGTTGAGCTATGGAGCTTTCAGAACAATGGTTAAAAGGATAGGAATATAAGAATTCTGTTGAGCTATGGAGCTTTCAGAACAATGGTTAAAAGGATTGGAATACAAGAATTGTGTTGAGCTATGGAGCTTTCAGAACAATGGTTAAAAGGATAGGAATACAATAATTTTGTTGAGCTATGGATCTTTCAGAACAATGGTTAAAAGGATAGGAATACAAGAATTGTGTTGAGCTATGGAGCTTTCAGAACAATGGTTAAAAGGATAGGAATATAAGAATTTTGTTGAGCTATGGAGCTTTCAGAACAATGGTTAAAAGGATTGGAAAACAAGAATTGTGTTGAGCTATGGAGCTTTCAGAACAATGGTTAAAAGGATTGGAAAACAAGAATTGTGTTGAGCTATGGAGCTTTCAGAACAATGGTTAAAAGGATAGGAATACAAGAATTTTGTTGAGCTACGGAGCTTTCAGTACAATGGTTAAAAGGATAGGAATATAAGAAATTTGTTGAGCTATGGAGCTTTCAGAAAATTATTAAAAGGATAGGAATATAAGAATTTTGTTGAGCTATGGAGCTTTCAGAACAATGGTTAAAAGGATAAGAATATAAGAATTCTGTTGAGCTATGGAGCTTTCAGAACAATGGTTAAAAGGATTGGAATACAAGAATTGTGTTGAGCTATGGAGCTTTCAGAACAATGGTTAAAATGATTGGAATACAAGAATTGTGTTGAGCTATGGAGCTTTCAGAACAATGGTTAAAAGGATAGGAATATAAGAATTTTGTTGAGCTACGGAGCTTTTAGTACAATGGTTAAAAGGATAGGAATATAAGAATTTTGTTGAGCTATGGAGCTTTCAGAAAATTATTAAAAGGATAGGAATATAAGAATTTTGTTGAGCTATGGAGCTTTCCGAACAATGGTTAAAAGGATAGGAATGCAAGAATTTTGTTGAGCTATGGAGCTTTCAGAACAATGGTTAAAAGGATAGGAACATGAGAACGTTGTTGAGCTTTGGAACTGTCCAACTGTTGGTAGTATATGTTCCACTTATGTCTCCATGTCACACACATACCTAATTCCTCCTGTTTAGAGATGGAGTAGCCCTCCCCCTGGTAGGTGTCGATGATGCTGAAGATGTCCTCCGACCTGACGCCCTCTACTCCCAGCTGCCGCAGCGTGCTGTTCACGTGGTCGTGTGCAAACTCGGGGTCATGCCGCACCAGGACGCCGTGAACTCTGCAGAACGTCTACACGTCAGCAAACACTCACCCGTAGGTTCATACAAGCGGGAGAGAGAGAGAGAGAGAGAGAGAGAGAGAGAGAGAGAGAGAGAGAGAGAGACAGAGACAGGAAGAGATAGAGAGGGAGAGAGAGAGAGAGGAAGAGAGAGAGAGGGAGAGGGAGAGAGAGAGGAGAGGGCTGGAGAGACAGAGACGATGAGAGACAGAGAGAGAGGGTGGAGAGAGAGAGAGGGGGGCGGCTGGAGAGACACAGAGACGATGAGAGACACAGAGAGAGGGTGGAGAGAGAGGGATGGCTGGAGAGAGACAGAGAGGGTGAGACACACAGAGAGAGGTTGGAGAGAGAGAGGGGGACGGCTGGAGAGACACAGAGAGGATGAGACACACACACACAGAGAAGGGGGGGGGGTCCCAATTGGTATGGTGCATTTTGGAGCTAGATTCGCACGTGTCGTCTTGATATTGATAAAAGCGTGTTGTCTGGCACGTCTACGTGTGTTGTCTCTGTGTGCAGTGAGAGAGAGGTCTCTATGTGCAGTGAGAGAGAGGCCTCTGTGTGCAGTGAGAGAGAGTCTACGTGTCCAGTGAGAGAGAGTCTACGTGTGCAGTGAGAGAGAGGTCTCTGTGTGCAGTGAGAGAGAGTCTACGTGTGCAGTGAGAGAGAGTCTACGTGTACAGTGAGAGAGAGGTCTCTGTGTGCAGTGAGAGAGAGTCTACGTGTACAGTGAGAGAGAGTCTACGTGTACAGTGAGAGAGAGGTCTCTGTGTGCAGTGAGAGAGAGTCTACGTGTACAGTGAGAGAGAGGTCTCTGTGTGCAGTGAGAGAGAGTCTACGTGTACAGTGAGAGAGAGGTCTCTGTGTGCAGTGAGAGAGAGTCTACGTGTGCAGTGAGAGAGAGGTCTCTGTGTGCAGTGAGAGAGAGTCTACGTGTACAGTGAGAGAGAGTCTACGTGTACAGTGAGAGAGAGGTCTCTGTGTGCAGTGAGAGAGAGTCTACGTGTACAGTGAGAGAGAGTCTACGTGTGCAGTGAGAGAGAGGTCTCTGTGTGCAGTGAGAGAGAGTCTACGTGTCCAGTGAGAGAGAGTCTACGTGTGCAGTGAGAGAGAGGTCTCTGTGTGCAGTGAGAGAGAGTCTACGTGTCCAGTGAGAGAGAGTCTACGTGTGCAGTGAGAGAGAGGTCTCTGTGTGCAGTGAGAGAGAGTCTACGTGTACAGTGAGAGAGAGGTCTCTGTGTGCAGTGAGAGAGAGTCTACGTGTACAGTGAGAGAGAGTCTACGTGTACAGTGAGAGAGAGGTTTCTGTGTGCAGTGAGAGAGAGTCTACGTGTACAGTGAGAGAGAGGTCTCTGTGTGCAGTGAGAGAGAGTCTACGTGTACAGTGAGAGAGAGGTCTCTGTGTGTAGTGAGAGAGAGTCTACGTGTACAGTGAGAGAGAGTCTACGTGTGCAGTGAGAGAGAGGTCTCTGTGTGCAGTGAGAGAGAGTTTACGTGTCCAGTGAGAGAGAGTCTACGTGTGCAGTGAGAGAGAGGTCTCTGTGTGCAGTGAGAGAGAGTCTACGTGTACAGTGAGAGAGAGTCTACGTGTGCAGTGAGAGAGAGGTCTCTGTGTGCAGTGAGAGAGAGGTCTCTGTGTGCAGTGAGAGAGAGTCTACGTGTACAGTGAGAGAGAGGTCTCTGTGTGCAGTGAGAGAGAGTCTACGTGTACAGTGAGAGAGAGTCTACGTGTACAGTGAGAGAGAGGTCTCTGTGTGCAGTGAGAGAGAGTCTACGTGTACAGTGAGAGAGAGGTCTCTGTGTGCAGTGAGAGAGAGTCTACGTGTACAGTGAGAGAGAGGTCTCTGTGTGCAGTGAGAGAGAGTCTACGTGTGCAGTGAGAGAGAGGTCTCTGTGTGCAGTGAGAGAGAGTCTACGTGTACAGTGAGAGAGAGGTCTCTGTGTGCAGTGAGAGAGAGTCTACGTGTACAGTGAGAGAGAGGTCTCTGTGTGCAGTGAGAGAGAGTCTACGTGTACAGTGAGAGAGAGGTCTCTGTGTACAGTGAGAGAGAGTCTACGTGTACAGTGAGAGAGAGGTCTCTATATGCAGTGAGAGAGAGTCTACGTGTACAGTGAGAGAGAGGTCTCTGTGTGCAGTGAGAGAGAGGTCTCTGTGTGCAGTGAGGCAGTGAGAGAGAGGCCTCTGTGCGCAGTGAGGCAGTGAGAGAGAGGCCTCTGTGTGCAATGAGGCAGTGAGAGAGAGGCCTCTGTGCGCAGTGAGGCAGTGAGAGAGAGGCCTCTGTGCGCAGTGAGGCAGTGAGAGAGAGGTCTCTGTGTGCAGTGAGAGAGAGGCCTCTGTGTGCAGTGAGAGAGAGGTCTCTGTGTGCAGTGAGAGAGAGGTCTCTGTGTGCAGTGAGGCAGTGAGAGAGAGGCCTCTGTGCGCAGTGAGGCAGTGAGAGAGAGGCCTCTGTGTGCAATGAGGCAGTGAGAGAGAGGCCTCTGTGTGCAATGAGAGAGAGGTCTCTGTGTGCAGTGAGAGAGAGGTCTCTATGTGCAGTGAGAGAGAGTCTACGTGTGCAGTGAGAGAGAGGTCTCTGTGTGCAGTGAGAGAGAGGTCTCTGTGTACAGTGAGGCAGTGAGAGAGAGGCCTCTGTGTGCAATGAGAGAGAGGTCTCTGTGTGCAGTGAGAGAGAGGTCTCTATGTGCAGTGAGGCAGTGAGAGAGAGGTATCTATGTGCAGTGAGAGAGAGGTCTCTGTGTGCAGAGAGGCAGTGAGAGAGAGGTCTCTATGTGCAGTGAGAGAGAGGTCTCTATGTGCAGTGAGGCAGTGAGAGAGAGGTCTCTATGTGCAGTGAGAGAGAGGTCTCTGTGTGCAGTGAGAGAGAGGTCTCTGTGTGCAATGAGAGAGAGGTCTCTGTGTGCAGTGAGAGAGAGGTCTCTATGTGCAGTGAGGCAGTGAGAGAGAGGTATCTATGTGCAGTGAGAGAGAGGTCTCTGTGTGCAGTGAGAGAGAGGTCCCTATGTGCAGTGAGGCAGTGAGAGAGAGGTCTCTATGTGCAGTGAGAGAGAGGTCTCTATGTGCAGTGAGAGAGAGGTCCCTATGTGCAGTGAGGCAGTGAGAGAGAGGTCTCTATGTGCAGTGAGAGAGAGGTCCCTATGTGCAGTGAGAGAGAGGTCTCTGTGTGCAGTGAGAGAGAGGTCTCTGTGTGCAGTGAGAGAGAGGTCTCTATGTGCAGTGAGGCAGTGAGAGAGAGGTATCTATGTGCAGTGAGAGAGAGGTCTCTGTGTGCAGAGAGGCAGTGAGAGAGAGGTCTCTATATGCAGTGAGAGAGAGGTCTCTATGTGCGGTGAGAGAGAGGTCTCTATGTGCAGTGAGGCAGTGAGAGTGAGGTCTCTGTGTGCAGTGAGAGAGAGGTCTCTGTGTGCAGTGAGAGTGAGGTCTCTGTGTGCAGTGAGAGAGAGGTCTCTGTGTGCAGTGGGAGAGAGGTCTCTGTGTGCAGTGAGAGAGAGTCTGTGTGTGCAGTAAGAGAGAGGTCTCTGTGTGCAGTGAGAGTGAGGTCTCTGTGTGCAGTGAGAGAGAGGTCTCTGTGTGCAGTGAGGCAGTGGGAGAGAGGTCTCTGTGTGCAGTGAGAGAGAGGTCTCTGTGTGCAGTGAGAGAGAGGTCTCTGTGTGCAGTGAGAGAGAGGTATCTGTGTGCAGTGAGAGAGAGTCTGTGTGCAGTGAGAGAGAGGTCTCTGTGTGCAGTGAGAGAGAGTCTGTGTGTGCAGTGAGAGAGAGGTCTCTGTGTGCAGTGAGAGTGAGGTCTCTGTGTGCAGTGAGAGAGAGGTCTCTGTGTGCATCGAGGCAGTGGGAGAGAGGTCTCTGTGTGCAGTGAGAGAGAGGTGTCTGTGTGCAGTGAGAGAGAGGTCTCTGTGTGCAGTGAGAGAGAGGTCTCTGTGTGCAGTGAGAGAGAGGTCTCTATGTGCAGTGAGGCAGTGAGAGAGAGGTATCTATGTGCAGTGAGAGAGAGGTCTCTGTGTGCAGAGAGGCAGTGAGAGAGAGGTCTCCATATGCAGTGAGAGAGAGTTCTCTATGTGCGGTGAGAGAGAGGTCTCTATGTGCAGTGAGGCAGTGAGAGTGAGGTCTCTGTGTGCAGTGAGAGAGAGGTCTCTGTGTGCAGTGAGAGAGAGGTCTCTGTGTGCAGTGGGAGAGAGGTCTCTGTGTGCAGTGAGGCAGTGGGAGAGAGGTCTCTGTGTGCAGTGAGAGAGAGGTCTCTGTGTGCAGTGGGAGAGAGGTCTCTGTGTGCAGTGGGAGAGAGGTCTCTGTGTGCAGAGAGAGAGGGGTCTCTGTGTGCAGTGAGAGAGAGGTCTCTGTGTGCAGTGAGAGAGAGGCCTCTGTGTGCAGTGAGAGAGAGGTCCCTGTGTGCAGTGAGAGAGAGGTCTCTGTGTGCAGTGAGGCAGTGAGAGAGAGGTCTCTGTGTGCAGTGAGAGAGAGGTCTCTGTGTGCAGTGAGAGAGAGGTCTCTGTGTGCAGTGAGAGAGAGGTCTCTGTGTGCAGTGAGAGAGAGGTCTCTGTGTGCAGTGAGAGTGAGGTCTCTGTGTGCAGTGAGAGAGAGGTATCTGTGTGCAGTGAGAGAGAGGTCTCTGTGTGCAGTGAGAGAGATGCCTCTGTGTGCAGTGAGAGAGAGGTCTCTGTGTGCAGTGAGGCAGTGAGAGAGAGGTCTCTGTGTGCAGTGAGAGTGAGGTCTCTGTGCGCAGTGAGGCAGTGAGAGAGAGGTCTCTGTGTGCAGTGAGAGAGAGGTCTCTATGTGCAGTGAGGCAGTGAGAGAGAGGTCTCTATGTGCAGTGAGAGAGAGGTCTCTGTGTGCAGTGAGAGAGAGGTCTCTGTGCGCAGTGAGGCAGTGAGAGTGAGGTCTCTGTGTGCAGTGAGAGAGAGGTCTCTGTGTGCAGTGTGAGAGAGGTCTCTGTGTGCAGTGAGAGAGAGGTCTCTGTGTGCAGTGAGAGAGAGGTCTCTGTGTGCAGTGAGAGAGAGGTCTCTGTGTGCAGTGAGAGAGAGGTCTCTGTGTGCAGAGAGAGAGAGTCTACACGTTACCGTAACGGGGATCCGGCCAGGTAGTTGGCTATGCAGATGCCTGACGCCGTCCCAGAGCTTCCACAAGCCACCATCACGTCGTCGAACCTGTCGAGGGCGCCCTGTTCCGGATAACACAATTCATGAACAACAATCATTTCCGAAGTCTTAACTAAAGCCAGGTGTGGAGGTTTGGCAAACAAACCTGGAAAAAAACCAACAATTAAAAACACGCCTGTCAATGGTTGATTTATGTACAACAATACAAGCGTCTCACCTGGTTGTATAGCTCGTCAAATATGGCCATGTACAACAATACAAGCGTCTCACCTGGTTGTATAGCTCGTCAAATATTGCCATGTACAATAATACAAGCGTCTCACCTGATTGTATAGCTCGTCAAATATGGCCATGTACAACAAATACAAGCGTCTCACCTGGTTGTTTAGCTCGTCAAATATGGCCATGTACAATACAAGCGTCTCACCTGGTTGTATAGCTCGTCAAATATGACCATGTACAACAATACAAGCGTCTCACCTGGTTGTATAGCTCGTCAAATATGACCATGTACAACAATACAAGCGTCTCACCTGGTTGTATAGCTCGTCAAATATGGCCATGTCCAACAATACAAGCGTCTCACCTGGTTGTGTAGCTCGTCAAATATGACCATGTACAACAATACAAGCGTCTCACCTGGTTGTATAGCTCGTCAAATATGGCCATGTACAAAAATAGAAGCGTCTCACCTGGTTGTGTAGCTCGTCAAATATGGCCATGTACAACAATACAAGTGTCTCACCTGGTTGTATAGCTCGTCAAATATGGCCATGTACAACAATACAAGCGTCTCACCTGGTTGTATAGCTCGTCAAATATGACCATGTACAACAATACAAGCGTCTCACCTGGTTGCATAGCTCGTCAAATATGACCATGTACAATACAAGCGACTCACCTTGTTGTATAGCTCGTCAAATATGGCCATGTACAACAATATAAGCGTCCCACCTGGTTGTTTAGCTCGTCAAATATGGCCATGTGCAATAATACAAGCGTCTCACCTGGTTGTATAGCTCGTCAAATATGGCCATGTACAACAATACAAGCGTCTCACCTGGTTGTATAGCTCGTCAAATATGGCCATGTACAACAATACAAGCGTCTCACCTGGTTGTATAGCTCGTCAAATATGACCATGTTCAATACAAGCGTCTCACCTGGTTGTATAGCTCGTCAAATATGGCCATGTACAACAATACAAGCGTCTCACCTGGTTGTGTAGCTCGTCAAATATGGCCATGCACAATACAAGCGTCTCACCTGGTTGTATAGCTCGTCACATATGGCCATGTACAACAATACAAGCGTCTCACCTGGTTGTATAGCTCGTCAAATATGGCCATGTACAACAATACAAGCGTCTCACCTGGTTGTATAGCTCGTCAAATATGACCATGTACAACAATACAAGCGTCTCACCTGGTTGTATAGCTCGTCAAATATGGCCATGGAACCAAAACAGCCTATCAGATTGGCACCGCCTTTCGGGACCAGGCATGACTTCTCCCCAGTCTCGCTCCTTCGGGACAAAATAAAGGACTCCATCTTCACCGCAGTTTGAAATTATCATAAACATTTTGATGTATTGAGAAGTGGCCCTTCAGTCCGTGGCTAGTAAATATTTCAAAAGGCTGGTGATCTAATCGATGTCATCTTGACAAAAACTTGGAAAAAACCATAGCACTGACACAATACTGATCTGCCTGATAGTGTTGAGAGTTTATTTCTGAACTGTAGGCCCCATGCCCCAGGTAAAAGTACAGTGAGGATATTGAGTGGGTGGTACATGTAAGTTTACGTTTTGACAGTACATGATGTATAAACGTAGCCATATTCTGTAGAAGCTGGCCATTTTCTTCTGTTGACATTTCAGTATAGTTTTACCAACTTTAGTACTTGATGGACAGGACATATATTTAGATGGAATATAATGATTACTTATAGTACTATCATGTGTACAGATAAGAATAATATGGTTTTCGTCTTCAATATTATAATAATAATAACTACAGATTTATATAGCGCTGGTATCCAGTTCGAAGACATGCTCAAAAGCGCTTCATTTGAGTCTACACAAAGAAGAGACATTACACAGCTAGGAAAACACAAAGCCTCAATACTCCAAGAAAGATTTGGTGAAAAGATAGGTTTTGAGTCTTTATCGGAACAAAGTAGGACTGTCAATGTTCCTGATATCCAATGGCAGCCTATTTCATAGCTCAGGGGCAACTTTGGCGAAACTCCGACCTCCAAAAGTCGCCGTTCTAACACTAGGCACAGTGAGTAGGGACTGGACGCTTGATGTGAGAGATCTTCCAGGCATGATTGGTTCCCAGTGGAAATAGTTTTTTATAAAACATTAGATCATAATAACCACATGGAAATTGCGACAATGCTGTTCTTAATTTTCTTATATTTACAGTAGTCAAATACTTTTCACACACAAATTGTTGTTTATCTACATTTTCCGTTTTGAATATTTCTAGTCAACAACTTTACATCTTTGTTGCACAATTGACAAAAAGGTTGTAACATTCCCAACTCCCTGTCCAATCCGCGTATTTCCATGACCCAAATGAAACAGTGTAATCTTAATTAATGTAGCCCAGGTATAACTGTTTCTAGAACCACTTGTGTTTTTGCCAGATAAAGTAACATCTTATACACGTCAGATGGCGAGCGGTAGTGACGCAGGGAGATGCGTTTTAACCAATATAAGAAACAGCGTTTTAATGTCAATATGTATGGTGGGTATCTTCCGCATTCTCCAAGTACAATATATAACGGGATCGGGTGGTCAGGCTCGCTGACTTGGTTGATGCACATGTCATCATATCCCAATTGCGAGGATCGATGCTCATGATATTAATCACTGGATTGTATGGTCCAGACTCGATTATTTACAGACCGAAGTCATATAGCTGGAATATTGCTGAGTGCGGCGTTAAACAACAAACCAACCAACCAACCAAGTACAATATCACTAGTTGATTGATTTATGGATGCTTGTGACTGGATTTTTTCAATACATTGATCCTCTGAATACCCAAAACATCAGATCCATACAATAGAATATTTTAGAGTCGAAGATCTTTTTTTTTCGATGTATGCACAAAGACGTTCACATTCTAGTAAATTAATCGCAACACCTTATCCATTTTTGTACCAAGACAATTAATTTTTTAGAATAAATACCCAAACTTTTCTCTGTTGACAGAATCAAAGTTTTTCGGAAAAAAATAATAAAACAGGCATTATTCTCCCCCTAAGGACAGCAAATTGCGGCTAATTAGACACCTTGTAGATGACACAGGCACTCGCGCCAGATCCACTCATGCCCGCTGGAGTGAGTGAGTGAGTATGGTTTTACGCCGCTTTTAGCAATATTCCAGCAATATCACGGCGGGGGACACAGAAATGGGCTTCACACATTTTACCCATGTGGGGAATCGAACCCGGGTCCTCGGCGTGACGAGCGAACGCTTTAACCACTGGGCTACCCGACCGCCCCTTAGGGGTGCAGCAGGACAGATACCTTTGCCTCCTGGAGGTAACTTGTGCTCATAGAAATCACGCTTACGGTCAGGGTTATGAAAGGATGAAACTTACATAATCCTTCTTGCCAAAGACTCCATTTTAGGATGGACGTCCCTCTCGTCATCTGAGTCAGGCGGCATCATGTAGATGTCAGCTCCAGACAGGCGGTCCAGCAGGATGTTGCCACGGCAACCCAGATCCTCTGAAGTCTGAAAACCAACCAGTTCACACGTTACAGTGTATCTCGGTGTAAGTCTGTGTTCTTTAACGCTGCAGTCAGTGATGCATTAGAAGATGTCCTTTGAAAGGTGCGACCAGGCAAACCAGTGGCTGAACACATGAGCAACGATTCATACCAAGTGGATACGTGACACGCAATCAGCCAAGCCGAACCAAATTACACACGCAGATGGAGTGGGTGCACCCATTTTTAAAAATACATTGTGATGTATATTTTGTCTGTTTGATGGTTAACGCCGCACTCAGCAATATTCCAGCTATATGACGACGGTAAATAATTGATCGAGTCCGGACCGGACAATCCAGTGATTGATATCATTAGCATCGATCCAGTCAATTGGGATACGATGACATGCATTAACTAAGTCAGCAAGCCCGACCACCCAATCCCGTTAGTCGCCTTTACGACAATCATAGTAACCATTTACGGCAAGCAGAGTCACCCTTTACGGCAAGTACGGATTGCCGAAGACCTATTCTACCCCGAAACTTCACGGGTCTACAATCAATATGAGATGCTCGAGATGAAAAAGCCTGACCATCTTGTTAGTCGCCTTTACGACATGCATAGTAACCATTTACGGCAAGCATAGTCATCTTTAACGGCAAGCATGAGTTGCTGAAGACCTATTCTACCCCGGATCTTCACGGGTCTTTCGTTGTTTGGCAGCAGAGACAGGTGTTCATATATCATGTTGAAATGGGGGCATGGGTGGCCCAGTCGTCTAAGGCGCCGCGAATCGCTGTGCAGAGTTGCGGCCCTTGGGCACGCCAGAAACCTATGATTGTGGGTTCGAATCCCGGTTCGCCCCGATTATGTTTCTAGGTTTGTCAGCACCATACCCGTGCCCGTGTGTTTCATCGAAGTGGTAAACGTCTGAGACCTGCATCACTTCGGGCTTTCCTCCCACATTAAGCTGACACGCCGCGATATAACTGGAATACTGTAAAAAGCGGCGTTAAACCCAACTCACTCACTCACTCACTCACTCATGTTGAAATTGTCAAGAGCAGCAAATATTTGAAGTGCTAGTAAAATGTCGAGAACTGCTGCGGCCTGATTGCAGCGGCTAGCGCTGTTGGTGGCATCGAGTTATCTGTCCTTGGGCGTTGTGGCTTATTTCATGTAAACCATAACATCATGGACTTATAAATATATCGGCACAAACTTCTTAACTATTCTCTTGCTCACCATTGTTAAAAATAGATGAGGGACAAGTCCAAGTTGTCTGCACGCCAAAGCCAAAGCTCGACAGTGATTGGATGGTGACGTACCACACGTGATCACGTGCTTGCATCCCTTTAAGATCGCATCTGCAAGGAGGAATTCTAGCTTCCCGACCTGAAACGAAAATAAATGACATGTTTATAAAATAACATCTGATTACTATTTTACAATTATGATACACTCGTACCATTCACACTTGATATTCGAGACTAAAATTCTTTCTAAACAAATAAATATTTTTTTTAAAAACATTAGAATTACTCAAACATGACATACAAGTAGAAACAACATTAAAATGAGGATGGTATAAATATTTGAAGCGGAAAAGACTTTCCGTGGTTCTTGGGAAGTACTGACCTACAATCTTATCCATCATAAGACATTCCAGAAATTTTTGTTGCTCAGTTTTCAAAATTTTCATTTGATATTTTTCAAAGGTAGCCTGGAATGGAAGTCGCCAGTTTGAAACTAGTGCCGAAAAAGCTGGAGAAAGCTGCTTTCTGATTGGATCCCCCACCCCCCTCTCCTCCATCTCATGTCACAGTCCAGACATCTGAAGGATCCCACTCCTCCATTCCATGTCAGAGCCCAGACATCTGAAGGACTCCCTTCCTCCATCTCATGTCACAGTCCAGACATCTGAAGGATCCACCTCCTCCACTTCATGTCACAGTCCAGACATCTGAAGGATCCACCTCCTCCACTTCATGTCACAGTCCAGACATCTGAAGGATTCCCCTCCTCCATCTCATGTCACAGTCCAGACATCTGAAGATCCCCCTCCTCCATCTCATGTCACAGTCCAGATCCCCCTCCTCCATCTCATGTCACAGTCTAGACATCTGAAGGATGCCCCTCCTCCATCTCATGTCACAGTCCAGACATCTGAAGGATCCCCCTCCTCCATCTCATGTCACAGTCCAGACATCTGAAGGATCCCCCTCCTCCATCTCATGTCACAGTCCAGACATCTGAAGGATCCCCCTCCTCCATCTCATGTCACAGTCCAGACATCTGAAGTACCCCCCTCCTCCATCTCATGTCACAGTCCAGACATCTGAAGGATGCCCCTCCTCCATCTCATGTCACAGTCCAGACATCTGAAGGATCCCCCTCCATCTCATGTCACAGTCCAGATCCCCTCCTCCATCTCATGTCACAGTCCAGACATCTGAAGGATCCCCCTCCTTCATCTCATGTCACAGTCCAGACATCTGAAGGATCCCTTTCCTCCATCTCATGTCACACTCCAGACATCTGAGGGATCCCCCTGCCCCATCTCATGTCACAGTCCCGATCCCCTCCTCCATCTCATGTCACAGTCCAGACATCTGAAGGATCCCCCTCCTTCATCTCATGTCACAGTCCAGACATCTGAAGGATCCCCCTCCTCCATCTCAAGTCATCGTACAGATGGACTTTGCATTGAATCATAGATGCTGCTGTACATCCCGCAGACCCCATTCAGACACAGTATACCGACTCCGAACCGACCAGTTCTTGTGTTAGCCCCTTAAGGCCGAGCGCCAGGCAGGGCAACAACAAGTGCCATCCTCTAACTTCTTCTGTTATGACGTGGCAATGGGACTGAACCATCGACCTTCCGCTCTTTGGAAAGACAAAGCTCATGTTTAAAACTTTTCAACGCATTTTACACTTGGCGTTGTTGTTGTTCGAAGTACTAAAACTTGAACACACAAACACGCACGCATGCACACGCACGCGCACGCACACACACACACGCACGTTCGCACGCACGTACGCAGGCACACACACACACACATTGTCCTTTACCTGCTGACCAGCTCGTGATTACTGCACACGTGACATGAATCACGCGCCCCATGTTTGTTGCACGACGCATGGCCAGCTATTTATGTCCATCATAAACTGGGGTTTGTCTCATTGAGCGCGTACCTTATGGACGGCATCATCTAGAAAGTCATGGCTATCATCTAGAACTGATTTGTATAAATAATTCATGACCTCGTGTGTCTGTCGCAAACCATGAAATGCTTCATGCAGACAAAACATCGCGCGCACGAATCCAGCTCTAACCCTGGCTTACATCAACATTTTACACACTGTCTTGTCGAAAATAAAAGTAGCAGTGTCGAATGTATCCCACGTTATGATACGAAGATAATCGAACCTGGACCATACAATCCAGTGATTGACATGAGCATCGATCAACGCAATATATCCAAATTGCGTAGATCGATGATGATGCTGTCAATCACTGGATTGTCTGGTCCAGACTTGATTATTTATTTATATTGCTGCTTGCGGCGTTAAATAACAACAAACAAATATGATACGAAGACAATAGAGTTCTAAATGTCCCCCGAGAAGCAGTAAAGGGGCATGCTGGATATTTAAAGCCCGATTGCTCTAGTTCGAAATGCACGCACTGCTATATTTACCCGATCATTACCCGGAATGTAACCACGTGATCAAAACTCAATGATAATCTTTATCGCCAGCAGAATGGATATTTTTTTAAAAGCCCACTTTGCAGCTTTTGCCATCCCTGTTCGTGATATCCATGATCGTCGGAATGGCCTATATTCACTTTCTAAGGAAAACCGTAGAGCGTCTGCCCGGAGAACGGAAGGTCCGAGTTTCGATCCCCGGCCGCGTTAAACCAAAGGACGTTAAAAGATGGTACTTGTTCTTACCCTGCCTGGCGCTCGGCATTAAGGGGATAAAACAAGGACTGGTCGGCTTGGAGTCATTAAACTGTGTCTGCGTGGGGTATCAACGTTAAACTGTGGCATGGTATATCAGTGGGCTAGCCATTGGCATCAGTCCGGACTAGTACTCGTACAAGCAGCCACACACACACGTGCATGCACGTCGCTATATAAGTGCAATAATCTTGGACGTGGCATTAAACCTCATTTCACCTGACCCATCTAAGTATAACCACCCGTGAAACTATCTTCGTTTATCAATAATCTCGATATTTCGTGATTCCTTTTCAAACGGTGAGGAATATACCGATTTTTGGCTTTTCCTTTTTAATGAAATAAGGCATATTGATTATTTTACATATTTGGAGGTTAGTTTAAAAAATATCTTAGATGACATTGGCACTTTTCATACGGGACGATCCGTGATATTTAGTACGGATGATGACCAACGATGAAGCGATGAGGGGATACGTCAACCGCAGCTATCTGTGGAAATAGTGTGTGCCACAACACACATCCAACGGCCACCTACAGACACACTCTCGGTGTGCACCAACCCTGCCTTTTTAAAGGATATCGTGTGGATTCCTGGCAACGCCTCACACCCTGTCTTACCTTGTTGCCTGACAATGAACTGCCCGTCATATCGTGTCGCTTGATGTGAAGACTGAAGCCATCGGGAATCCCTGGGAGATTCCATTCGTGGATAGGGGTGTTCTCCATCGCAAGCTAAAATCAAACGTGCATGGTCAGATAAGGGATGAATTATTTGTCATTCCATTATGTAAACAAATTTCCAATTTACTCTACTTTTTTGGAGGGTTGCTCTTTTATTTCGTGTCTATGGCCATGTGTTTCACTCAGGTGGCTGCAAATGGTTTCAAATTAGTGAGTGACGCACAAGGCTAGAGAGGCTCTGGTCAATTACAATGTTTTTGGAATGTCTTCTTCAAGTCCCCGTACGCCAACAGTATAACAGATATTATACGTCCGTTTCCTAAGCTTCGTGAAAAGTATGTTTGGAACATTAAATTGTTGTTAAATGTTCGGTTTATAGACAGATAGAAGGGTATGATATACATAATAAAATCGTTTCCATGTAGATCGAGGGAAACAAAAACTAAAACTATTACTACTGGCATAATGATAACAGTAGTTAGTTCATTATAACATATCTGATATTCGAGTAAACTGCTTGCAGCAGTACTAGTAGGTGAGTGAGTGAGTATGGTTTTACGCCGCTTTTAGCAATATTCCAGCAATATCAGGGCTGGGGACACCAGAAATGGGCTTCACACATTGTACACATGTCGGGAATCGAACCCGGGTCTTTGGCATGACGAGCGAACGCTTTAACCACTAGGCTACCCACCGCCCCTCTTGCAATGCTTAATCTGAAATGAAGATATAGTACTATGAAATAAAAAATCAAATGATGACTGCATTTTGTATATTCAAACTTGTAGTCTTCTCCATAACCGGTGAGGCCAACAAAGTCGTGACGGTCTAGTTGTTATTGTCACTTTTATGACGACTTGTTCCAATAAACCGTGCTCTATAAGTTTATCACTCCAGGGTTACGAAAAGTCAACACCAGAGAACAACCAGTCTCGATCCACAGGTACAGATTCCTCTGGGCGTCACAGCAAAATAACGGTGAAAATTATATGAATAGATCAGTGAAAATCAGTGAAAACGGTAAGCATGCCCTGTCCTACCGGTAACAGCTGCCACTCACTCAATTTACATATATAATAAGTGTTTGTAGGTTTCCTTCCATGCGACGGTTGTCTATAAACACGCCAGGGAATCGAGCAATGGACCAGACAGAAAGTCCAGTGATACGATAATGCATTTACTGTTTTTGTGGAAACTAAAAAACGAAATGTGAATTTTATCTGCTGTGTACAAGAGCAGGTGTGTCTGGAACGCAGGCTACATAGCCACAATATTCTTCAATGCCATGAGTAAATATATTTCTCGTTTATATCTCGGTTATTTTCATTTGTGGTTTAAGTGAAATTCTCCTATGAGGAATCAATGCAATTACAAATATAACCATATTAGTGCACTCCTTGGGTATTAAGTGAGTGAGTGAGTGAGTTGGGTTTAACGCCGCTTTTAAAATTATTTCAGTTATATCGCGGCATGTCAGCTTAATGTGGGAGGAAAGCCCGAAGTGATGCAGGTCTCAGACGTTTACCACTTCGGTGAAACCCACGAGCACGGGTAGGGTGCTGACAAACCTAGAAACATAATTGGGGTGAACCGGGATTCGAACCCACAATCATAGGTTTCTGGCGTGCCCAAGGTCCGCAACTCTGCACAGCGAATCGCGGCGCCTTAGACGACTGGGCCACCCGTGCCCCCCTTGAGGGGTATAACATGTTTCCATTTTTTTAAATATCATAACAGTTGTAAGAAATATAAATACTGCTATCTCATCATAGGACATGTCGGCTTATTTTGATAAATCAAATAGTTCTCTGAATAATTATAGTAGTACATTGCGGTTCATTTCCTATTAATTGGAAAAGGAAAATATGCGAAAATTTACAAATTTTTTGCTTCTTTTCACTAAGAACTCAATTTCTGGGAGGCTATAGGTTTAACAAAATATAATTGAAGTCTACTATGTGTAAACTGTCACACACATGATACAAAAGAGTACTCATTGCACACACTACCTTCTTAGGGGACTTTATTTGATTTTCTCTCTCTTTACAACAGAAATGTTCATTTTGACCCCAAAACATTTACAATATCTGCCACCAAATTATTTGACCACAACCATTATTTTCTAGTCTGCTGAATTCAAAAACATAAAGAAAATCTAAGTTTGCTTTTTTCAACTTTGGGGAGGGGTATGTCAGCGGTTTGAGGGACACGACTCTATCAGGTCTTGTCTATTCCTGGGTTACCAAGATTTGGGATGTATAGTTAGTTTTCTTAACCTTCCTCAAACCAGATTGAAAGATATGTAAAGCCAAGAATGGACTAATATACTATGACTAGATTTGAATATTATATACATGTACTTTCTAAGATATGTCCAGAATCAGTGACATATTTAAAGATTCAACCTTGTGCACATTTGCTACCGATTTGCTCGTGCTTGAGTTGGTTTGGTTGGTTTGTTGTGTAACGCCGCACTCAGCAATATTCCAGCTATATGACAGCGGTCTGTATATAATCGAGTCTGGACCAATGAATCCAGTCATTAATATCATGAGCATCGATCCACGCAATTGGGGTCGATGACATGCATCAACCAGGTCAGCGAGCCTGACCACCCGATCCCTTTAGTCGCCTCTCACGACAAGCAAAGTCGCCTTTTACGGCAAGCCTGGGTTGCTGAAGACCTATCCTACCCCGGATCTTCACGGGGGGAGACAAGCATGGGTTGCTGAAGACCTATCCTACCCCGGATCTTCAAAGGGGGAGGTAAGCATGAGTTGCTGCAGACCTATTCTACCCCGGATCTTCACGGGTGGAGACAAGCATGGGTTGCTGCAGACCTATTCTACCCTGGATCTTCACGGGGGGAGACAAGCATGAGTTGCTGAAGACCTATTCTTCCCTGGATCTTCACGGGTGGAGACAAGCATGGGTTGCTGCAGACCTATTCTACCCTGGATCTTCACGGGGGGAGACAAGCATGAGTTGCTGAAGACCTATTCTTCCCTGGATCTTCACGGGTGGAGACAAGCATGGGTTGCTGCAGACCTATTCTACCCTGGATCTTCACGGGGGGAGACAAGCATGAGTTGCTGAAGACCTATTCTACCCGGGATTTTCACGGGGAGGCAAGCATGGGTTGCTGAAGATCTATTCTACCCCGGATCTTCACGGGGGGAGGCAAGCATGGGTTGCTGAAGACCTATTCTACCCTGGATCTTCACGGGTGGAGACAAGCATGGGTTGCTGCAGACCTATTCTACCCTGGATCTTCACGGGGGGAGACAAGCATGAGTTGCTGAAGACCTATTCTTCCCTGGATCTTCACGGGTGGAGACAAGCATGGGTTGCTGCAGACCTATTCTACCCTGGATCTTCACGGGGGGAGACAAGCATGAGTTGCTGAAGACCTATTCTACCCGGGATTTTCACGGGGAGGCAAGCATGGGTTGCTGAAGATCTATTCTACCCCGGATCTTCACGGGGGGAGGCAAGCATGGGTTGCTGAAGACCTATTCTACGCCGGATCTTCACGGGGGGAGACAAGCATGGGTTGCTGAAGACCTATTCTACCCGGGATCTTCAGGGGAGGCAAGCATGAGTTGCTGAAGACTTATTCTACCCCGGATCTTCACGGGGGGAGACAAGCATGGGTTGCTGAAGACCTATTCTACCCGGGATCTTCAGGGGAGGCAAGCATGGGTTGCTGAAGACTTATTCTACCCGGGATCTTCAGGGGAGACAAGCATGGGTTGCTGAAGACCTATTCTACCCGGGATCTTCAGGGGAGGCAAGCATGGGTTGCTTAAGACCTATTCTTCCCTGGATCTTCACGGGGGGAGGTAAGCATGGGTTGCTGAAAACCTACTCTACCCCGGATCTTCACGGGGGGAGACAAGCCTGGGTGGCTGAAGACCTATTCTACCCCGGATCTTCAGGGGTCTCGTGCTTGAGACACGGGGAGACACCACACCATTTCAAAATCTGAACGATTATGTATATATTGTCATCTTAAAAATGTGTAAGATCTATATCAGGTCAAAAATAAAATATAAAACATATTCGATACATAATAAATCAATCTGTAATTCGACCGTCATTCAAACAATTTATTCGCCTTATGGCATCCTCAAATTATTAAGATTAAAAATTTATTATGTTATTTAAAATATGCCTTCCAAACCAGAGATGTACAGAAATGAAACATGTGCTTCTATTTGTAAAATTATCCTGTACTGTATTGTATCCGCTTCATGTATTGGGCATGTGGCCTTTCATACGATAAACATCTGAACAGGAAAACCCTTGTGTTTTATCCTGCACAGTAGGTGCTGAAAGTGCCGTTTGTTATGAAGGAAAGTGTTTAATGTCTTGTTTGCATGGTTCGGGCAACACGCCGGACCTATTCTAGCAGTCAATACATCTTCTATAGATAAGGGGTTATCCTTGCCAGTGTGAGGGCTGTCAGTCCCATCTCAGCCTGCTCCGACAACACAAGTATATGAATGCATTTAACAGACTACTCCTTCAGCTTCAACGAGGTCATTAGAACACCTAGCGTTGGATCTGAGGAGGCTCATAGGAGCTGAAGAGCTATTTGTATTTATCATGTAGTTTTGTATCTTCGATCATATCTTTATACTAGTCGGGCTGGACTTCTTGTTATGTACAAATCTTTTTATGCATGTATTGTTAATAATTTTCAGGTTTGAGGCGAAAAAACATCTGCCTGTCGGTGTAAAAAAGGTTAATTTACAAGTTTTTATTTTTGTTTTTTACCCATAATGGACGTCGGATAGAGGGTATTAAATTTCTGTAATGCGCTTGAGAATTGCAGATTTTCTAAAATAACTCGACTTTTCATTGGTCGGCCGTACTAATTTCCTGTATTGTGTCTTTCAGTCTATCATCCACGTGCTCAAACGGAATGGGGCGTCGCATAATTCGAAATTCCGATTCCGAATAAATAACTGCAATTGCTGAATATTCCATATCCATCCATCCATCATCCATTGGTGGTATGCTTGTCTAGCATCAATTTGGTAATGTTAGAAACTCTTAAAATTGGTTTACTGAGCCGCTGTAACGTTATGTCAACATTTGTGACCCACTTCTACTGACAGTCTCGCACTCGTCGATGTTGACTTATATAATTTGAGACTTGCATTTATTAAAATTAATAAATTAAATGCAACATGTTTCTTACGTGTTGTGTATTGTATATTTGGGTACAAGCGTAAGCGATACAGATATTCTAAACTCGAATGGCAATAGCGACCCATTTAACACGATCCATGTGCCGTGAAAAGGTCGTGTGTTTACTTTTATTAGATTAATTTTGGGTTACAGCCGCTAGAAATTTCGAAGGTGGTTAGAGATGAGACGTTTGCTGTAAATCCGATAATGGGTACCAAAAAGAATACCCAACTCGAAACTCGGAAATACGATGATCTTTCCCGGCGGAATTAATGTCGAGTGAGCGCGTAAAATCCGACGTATATTTTGCTCAACAGCGTCCATTTTACAGAAAATAAATGGACATTTGTTATACCCTCTATTTCAGAAACCATTTATATTTTTCAACATCAAATATTTCGATTGAAAATATATTTGGGGAAAAGGTATGGACAGATTACGGGAAGGGGTCGTTCACGTTCTCTCCGTCGGTGACAGTAACACCACTCACGAAGTGAGATGCACCCGTTTCAAAAGCATGGTTTCAGCGCTATGCATCAGTACAACCATTCGATGTCGGATAGTTAAACGGGGGAGAAAACAGAAGCGAAGTTAGGATCCGCGATCCAGAGTGTCACGATATCTGAATGGATTATAACTGAAAATGTCACTCACCTCTACTTTATGCGTAGGTACATTCTTTAGATGTTGAGCCCAACTGGGCGGCTTGTACTCAACAAGATATTTCGCCATTGTGAACAGACTGACCCGAGGAGGACCGATCTCACCAGCGAAGCGTCTGACCCGGACAACAGCGAGATATTGTCGTCTGCTCACGAATATGGTAATCTACTTGATGAGCGCACATGCTTTTAACACACAGGCGATGAACGCAGTAAGGCGAAGTAAGCAAGTGATCGCGTGGCTGTGTCGAAAGATAGTCCATGTGTTGAATGAGGCATGTGTTGAATGTATAACAACTTCCGATTCACTGAGTTAGCGAGTGAGTTAAGTTGAAATCGCTCACAAAAATCGCTTCTGCCACACTTTAGACACAACCTTGAGATTGAATCGATGTCGCTGAGCGGCAAGCATATCGCGGATATGACAACCTACTGACCTAACTAGCTTGGTGACTCAACAGACCGTTTAGACCACCGCCCTTAATAAACATACAAACACACATATTGTAAACCGTTATTACACCCTAAAAAGTTGTTCTCCAATGACCTGTGATGTTTGAAGTATGTATATTAGGTACATATATAAGACTTGATCAGCATTAACGTGTCTACTTGAATAAGCGCACGTAAAATATCTAGTACGGTCACTCGAAGGGGCGCAATTCATGACAACAAAGGGCGGGTAACTCTAAACTGCCACCTCACTCGGAATATGTCCGCAAGGCGTGTAGGCAGGTTTAAAGAGTTGACATACGGGTGCGATGGGACAAAAACAGGAGTTTATCCTATCGGTCGCAGCGGGCACTCCATGGTGGCTGATGACGCCAATATTTATGTTTTTGGTGGATACAATCCACGCGGGTGCATTCGCGAGGACACTGAATCTGCATGTGTGCTCGTCGAACTTTGGAAATTCAACTTCGCCACCTGGAAATGGACGAACCTGACATCCCCTGGGGTGCCAGACACGTGCGCCAGCTCGTGCATGGTCATGAGAGGGAAGAGGCTGTTTGTGTACGGGGGGACAGGATTTCCGTTCGGTGAAATGATGAGCAATACTGTCAAAGTGTGTGAATGTAGTCTTGGAAGTCGGCGTAGGAGCTACTGGTATCTTCTTGAAACCAACCCAAATGTGTATAACTGTTTAGATCTAGGCGACAATATGCCCCCGAGAGCCTATGGACAAAGTCTGATATTCCACGAAGATTGTTTATACACGTTTGGGGGAGCGGTTGGATTTTATGACGAGGCTGTAAACGATCTTCACCGTCTCAACTGTCGTACATTAATTTGGGAGAAACTGTCACCGGCAGGGGATGTGCCCCCTGGGCGGTATAAGCAGGAGGTGGCGTTATACAGAGGAAGGTACGGCTGGTGTATTCCTATTGTTGTAATGGGGGCGGTCGGGTAGCCTAGTGGTTAAAGCGTTCGCTCGTCACGCCGAAGACCCGGGTTCGATTCCCGACATGGGTACAATGTGTGAAGCCCATTTCTGGTGTCCCCCGCCGTGATATTGCTGGAATATTGCTAAAAGCGGCGTTAAACCATACTCAGTCAGTCAGTATTGTTGTAATGATATTTAAACGAAGAATTTTATTACTCTTCAAATACTTTTGCTGCATCGGTGCATATGTACTAGAATTCCTCAGTTACGGTGAGGTGAAATGAAGTTTAACGTCGCGTTAAAAATTATTGTACTTATATTGCAACGTGCATATGCACGTGTGTGTGTGTGTGTGTGTGTGTGTGTGTGTAGTGTGTGTGTGTAGTGTGTGTATGGTGTGTGTGTGTGTGTGCGTGCGTGCGTGCGTGGCTGCTTGTACAAGTCCAGACTAATGCCGGTTTCATAGTGCTAGCCCACTAAGATACCATGCCGCAGTTTAACATCGGTTTTCTGACTCCGAGCCGACCACCAGGCACGGTAACAACAAGTAACGTGTTTTGGTATGACGCGGCCAGGAATCGAATCCCCGACCTTCCGCTCTCAGTGCAGACGCTATGTTCTTCCCGGGATCAGCTGGTGCACAGTGTGAGATGACCTGATGACCTTTGGACCTGTTTGGGTGCTGATATTTGTAAGGCTGATAGTGTAACCCAGTTGTCACAGGTTCTGTTCTGTTTGTTGTTTAACGCCGCACTCGGCCATATTCCGGCTGGTTGAGGCGTCCTGTATATAATCGAGTCTTGACCAGACAATCCAGTGATTGATATTATGAGCAACGAATTACGCCGTCGGGGTACAATGGCACCCGATCAGCCTAGTCCCTTTGCACAAATCGATCTTAGCGCTACGACTAGTGTAAGCCTATGTAAAGTATAAAAGGTACAATCGCAGAGCTAAATTCACTTTGTGCACATGAACCCATATCTATCTGGTCGCCTCGTAGGACAGGCTTGGTTTATCTGTGAGGTGTGCAACACCATCAACATTACGTACAGCCTCTTTAAGTATGATGATACATTGTACAAGCTTTTAATATAAATTACCGGTATTTTTATAATGATGAATCCAACAATAGAATCCTACCCCGGAAATGTCGGACATGTCCATTTTTATGCACAGGTGGATATTTCCCACATATTCTCAAAATCCTCGCGTCAATTACATGTACCTTTCCTCCGAATATAAGTTGTCATAGCTCTCTCGCTCTTGGAGTGAGTGAGTGAGTGAGTATGGTTTTACGCCCCTTTTAGAAATATTCCAGCAATATCGCGGCGGGGGACACCAGAAATGGGTTTCACACATTGCACCCTTGTCGGGAATCGAACCTGGGTCTTCGGCGTGACCAGCGAACGCTTCAACCACAAGGCAACCCGACCACCCTCCCGCTCTTTGATGCAACTGTTCGGGTATTGCGTTTATCTGCGTATGTATCTATGGGGAACAACGTATACAACACTTCTCTCTCAAAAATAATGTCGTCTAATATACGCCGTCATCGCGTTGCGAGCGCAAATACGAATCTCCACAAATGACGTCATGATAGAACAATGTTTTATCGTGAATTCTACCATAAATTTGGAATTTACTCGATTCTGATTGGTCAATCAGAGGCTATTAAATCACAATAAACCCCCTCTGATTGAAACAGCTGGTTTGACGGCCGCTTCACCGCGGAAGCTAATATTCGTAGAATGGTACTATTTTCAGTCATTGTCGGTAGGCGTATTTAAATAATTATATCTGCAATTACAGGTTACAAAATGCACAGATGCGGTTAATACAATATACAAAGGATGTGTGGCAATACATTTTGTGCAGAAAAACACGACAGAAATCAACAAAGGGAATGTATTTACGTTTTGGAGACAACAGAGAGCTTGGAATTTTGGCGCTTTTCTATATATGACTGTGACGTCATATCTTTTGCGTCACAATGAGTGAGTGAGTTGGGTTTAACGCCGCTTTTAACAGTATCCAGTTATATCACGGCGTGTCAGCTTAATGTGGGAGGAAAGCCCGAAGTGATGCAGGTCTCAGACGTTGACCAGTTCGGTGAAACCCACGAGCAGCGTCACAATGAGCGGCATGACGTCATAATGGTGACGTGCGATGTAGAGCGAAAGCCTTGCAAAGCTTGCTTTGTTTTCTTTACGGATGCCCACCTCATGTTTGCTTACCAAGTTGCCGTGCTTATATGCTTTCAATGCCTGTCATATGTTCGATTGAAGTATTACGGTATAAACAAACTGCTTGAGGATATACAGCACCATATTTTTTTTCGGTGATTCCGCAATTCAGATCGATAACGCACTCAAAACACTGAACTCAACCCATGACGCTTCACTCAGTATATTTGCTAACACCAAAGAGTTCGCATTTTATTTAGTCATGGTAGAATGGAGATAAACATACTGTGTTTGCAATGCTGCGCGTTCGGTTCCAAATTCAGTTTAGCGGGGTTAAATCTACAGGACCTAGCTCTACATTGAAAACACTGTATGTTTATCTCCTAAATAAACCACGCTTCGTTCTGCGATTTATCGCTCAGCTATCTTATATATTACTATAGTTAATCTGTCATGCCATTATTATTATTATTATTATTATTATTATTATTATTGTAATGTTTTTAACTTCTTTTGAGTGGTAAAAATCATGACGCGAGACGAGTTACGCTGGTTTTAAGATAGATAAACAAGCAGTCTGACCTCTGTCAAAAAATGTTTTGATGACCCTTTTCCTAATAACAGCCTGACCTAGATTATCGTCGTCCTGTCAAGTAGACCAGGTTCGCCCCACACTCCACGGTGAGTCGACAGCCGTGTCACGTTGTATACCTCCTGTCTCCCACGCCAGACTCACCTGATATCACTGAAATACTGGTCACAGCGAGGTTGAATCCAACTCACTCAGTGCGTTCCTGAGTTGCGTCCCTTGGGCACGCCAGAAACCAATGGTTGTGTTCGAATCCCGGTTCGCCCCGATTATGTTTCTAGGTTTGTCAGCACCATACCCGTGCTCGTGGGTTTCACCGAAGTGGTAAACGTCTGAGACCTGCATCACTTCGGGCTTTCCTCCCACATTAAGCTGACACGCCGTGATATAACTGGAATACTGAAAGCAGCTTTAAAACAGCTCACTTATATGGCTGGACGATTGCTGATTGCGTCGTTAGACAACAAAGAGAACTGTTGTAGATTCCAAGCCGAGTTGCACAGTTTCGCCTCGGTTACATGAAACATGGCATTATCTGGTACTATATATGCGGCTATTCAAGGGTGTCAAAAAGTGCTCGAAATGTCGGTTTTACTGTCCGGGATTGAAGGCTACTTCCGACGTGTACAGGCAGACGAATGTGTTGCAGCTTGTGTATGTCAAGCTGTGGCCAAATCTACATTAACCCAAGGGATGCATTTTTTTAATTAATCAGAACACTGCACGACTTGAACAAGTCATAACGTTCAATTGGGGATAACCTAAAAGGGACGGTCGGGTAGCCCAGTGGTTAAAGCGTTCGCTCATCACGCCGAAAACCAGGGATGGATTCCCGACATGGGTACAATGTGTGAAGCCCATTTCTGCTGTCCCCCCGCCGTGATATTTCTGGAATATTGCTAAAAGCGAAGGGTAGAAAGGTAAGGGTAGAAACTAACATTTTTAGTCCACTTATCCATTTAATGATAACATATAGCAAAACCCTGAAAAATGGCAAATTTCTACTAGTCCTTATGATACCTTAACTATTGGGCAGTTCGGCAAGGACTACAGGACAAGTGCCAATTTCTAACGCTGATAAACCTAAAACCCTCGGGTTTTTTTTCGTTTTTTTAAAAGGTATGATAATGATGACAATTAACCTGTAAATAACGAAGCCGGAATAAATAATCCTAGACAGGCCCAATCCTCGACTACAAGTACGACGAACGAGTGATTTACAACGTATTCTGTCCAAACAACTGTGTATTAGACTCTATTTGGTTTCGAGTGAAATGAAAGGTGAAACTATGCTTCTGAAAGATAACTGAGAGTGGTCTCATATCGGGACGGGCGAGCAGGACACAGTGCATCTGAACATTTACAATCTCATTCAAATCACGTCCTAGTTCTCGCTACCGCTAAACCAAGATCTGAGGACATCCCGTTACGGGTCACGCCAGAACAACCCTTCATCCGACCAATCAGAGCGTCGTTTATCAGTTCATGAAAGTGACAGTTGGAATGTGATTTTTGATCGTGCAACTTCGAAATATTTGATACGCTGTATTCCGAACGGCAGTTATGGGCTTTGTGACTGTATTCCTACAATCTAGACCATCTACTAGCCATTCCAGAATGTTGCTTTGTTCCGTTTTCAAATTTGTAATCGAGAATTTGTGAAAATATGTTTCAAAGCGTAGTCGACAGTTGAAAACTAGTGCCGTAAAGCTGCCTTCTGATTGGCTAACGTCGACCTCTTGTCAGTCATTCCACTGGTCGGTCAAAATTTGCGAGAGGTCGTAATGGATGTACTTAGATCTTTGTTTAGCCGTAGCAAGAACTAAGATCTGATTTTAATGAGATTGCGAACATTTAAAGTCTTATGGGACCCATGAGGCAAGCGGGTCCACTAGCCCGTATTAAAGTCTAGTTTCTACCCTTGCCACATCAAGGCCACTTTTCCTGGCGCGACCCTGGCGCCACCTCGCGTAGATCACGAGTTGTGCCCCTTGTAATGAAATCGCGATATCCAATCAGATCGCTGACGACCTAGACGATAAGATAACAAACATATTCGCGATTTCATCCCTGACACAAAAACATAGGCAAGCGTTGGGGGGTTTAAAAGATGAAAAAGACATATTCGTATCAACAAAGACAGCCAGCGGTAAATTACTTTCATACGAAGGTGTTCAGTCGTAGATGTTGATTTTGTGAAACGTTCTCTGATTGAACTATCGATATGTGTGTTGCTCTTGTCTCGGGAAGATGTGCGGGACCAGGGTTAATGTAGGTCCTCAAGCACTCTAAAGATTGTGGTGAGGGGAACTAAAATGGTTCGGGTGGTCAGGCTCGGTGACTTGGTCATCCCCTGGACGGCCTGTGACGTTGTTCATTATATCAATCACAGGTTTGTCTGGCTGAGATTTGAGTATTTGCAGATCGTTGTGATATTGCTGGCTGGAATACTGTGGTTTTATACATACTCAAACATATAATTTATTATTATATCTTTTTAAGGTTTTTCGTGTTCGGAGGCGGGCGACTTCATCTCACAGAAGAGCTCAAAAGCATATTTGCCTACGAAGTGGCTGCAAACAGGTGGGAGGAAATCAGAACAGCCCGGGATCCATTACATGGTTACCCCGCCGCCAGATGCAGTTTCGGTTTGGTTCAGATTGGGGGCTGGGTTTATATCTGCGGGGGGAGATTTTACCTGGACTCGGTGCCACACGTGGGTCTCACAGACATATGGAAAATATCCCTGGAATCGTTTCAGTGGTGTAGAGTGCCTGTCGTTCTTCCCGAGAAGCTGTATTTTCATCGTGTGGTTGTCTCCCCTTCGTATCATCTCTACGTGTATGGTGGCGTGACGGATGGAGGGGTCAGGTCATCGCGCATGTTCAGATGGAGAATTCCGTATCATGTGCCGAAGCTGATGGAGCTGTCGTGGGAGACGGTGTCCAGACACTTCTGGGCCCTGGACACACTGCCCAAGGAAACTCTGGAGATGACCTATGGTATTCCCCGGCAGTTTGTCGACCGCATTACATAAACAACGCAAATAGTTACACTCGCATTTAACCCCGTGCCTTTCAGTGAGTACTCGTCCACGTTGTATCTTCACCGAGAAACGTTTTAAGAAATGACACATGGACTACAAACCGCTGCTCGGGCTAGTTCCGCTTGTTGGTGTTTAGCGAAGACGGATATATCTCCCTCCTCCTGTAAAACAAGCTGCTTTGAACACCTGGCATAAAAAAAATCAAACTGACCGTACCATGGCCACATGCAGACCAGAACAACACTATGTTAACTCTGATTCGTGTGTATTGAGAAGGAATCAGTATTATAAGGGTAACGCTATTTTTTAGGACATTATCATTTGCAGAAGCCCGAGGTCTTCCATTAACTGCCCGACGAAGGAGGGCAGTTGAAAAGACAAAGGGCTTCTGCAAATGATAATGCTCTGAAAAATAGCGTTACCGTTATTATAGCTAAAAATGGATGGAATTTGTTATGAAATAAAAAGAAACCTCAATATCGATTTTGAAACATTTACTGCAATCAACACGAATGCCACTGACCCACTTTTACAAATATGGAAACGTCATAGAACAAACCTGATGACGTCACCTATCAGTATCCTATGACGTCACCTAACAACGGGCGTGATAATGGCCCGTCGTCAAGCAATATGAGGGCATTATCAAGTTTCAGTGGCCCGCTCATTTCTGATAACATGCGGGCGGTTTTTGTGATAATTCTATCCATTTTAGCTATAATACTTTGTATTTACTTGTTTCCAGAAAAGAGCATTCCCTTTCAAATGTATTGGTTATACAGGCATTATTTGGCCGCAGGGCTCCAACCCTGATAGATTTTCTTTTGAAATTTGTTCGAGAATTACGTTTGGTACGCACGTTTAGGATCTCAAACAGGTTTCGACAGGAGATATCGCTTGGGTGAGAACAAGCGATCTCTCCTAGGATATGACGGTTACCGTGACGTCACAATCAAATGACATCACTAATTCTTCCGCTACTAAAGCTGGTTACTGTGATTATCAGGGGTTTTTTTTACACTGAAGACACTGCTTATGACTGTTTAAAAACTGGATGTTGGTGGAATGATGTTGGATGAAATATAGATTATCACCCTCGTGTCGTTTGATATCAAATATATCAAAACTCGTCTATAACAGTTCAAACCTCCTCAGCATGCCTCGGATATTTAAACTTTTTTATCAAAAGTCACGAGGGTGATATTCTCTATCTGTCATACAAATCTGGCTTCTAGAGGAGATATCGATTGGGTGAGATCAAGCGATATCTATGTTATCGCTTTATGAATTGCACCACAATGCTCTGCAGGTCATTGTGACGTCATCGTTACATGACGTCACTGTGACGTCATCGTCACTATGACGTCACATTCAAATGACATGATTTATCTGACATTGGTTATCTGTACTTTTTTACACTCAATGCACTGGTTATTACTATTTACAAATTTAAAACTTTGGAAGAATGATTTTTGGATGATAAACAGAATCTCAGAGTTGTAGCGTGTGTGTTCAGCATTCATGATTGTCAACGCTGTTGGTACTATTTATATTTGGAGGCCTGCTATTCGCTATGCAGAGTTGCGCCCCCCGGGTACACCAGAACCTATGTTGGGTTCGAATCCTGTTTTGCCCCGATTATGTTTGTCAGCACCATTCCCGTGCACGCGGGTTTCGCCAAGGTGATAAATGTCTTAAAACCCCTGCATCACTTAGGACTTTCCTCCCTCGTCAAGTTGACACGTCGTGGGACAACTGGAATACTGTTCAAAGCGGCGTTAAACCCAACTCACTCACTCACCCACTCACTGTTGTTATCTAGTAAGGCATAAGTAAGGAAACAATCTTAAAGATCAATCATTCGGATTATTGCACACCTCTAGGTTGTTCCTCGGCTACATTCAGCCAAGTTCGGCGTTTTCCGTGTAAGGTATTCTCAGTTCTGGGACTGGTCGAAACAAGTATTAATATGTCCATAGATCTCGTCATGATTTTTACTAATCGTGAATATAACCTAAAGGCCAGTTGGAAAATATGGAAAAAGGACATGCATTCGAAGTTGGTAACATTAATTATTTCTGCTTTGAAGCTTGGGATGACTTCACGGAGCTTCACCGCGCTTCACGCAGGGACAGTTGCTTCTGCTATATACCTACATTGTAGGCAGGTTGGAAAGAAGTCGCAATATTTTCGTTATTTACATTGTATATATAACGTATGTTTATATTGCTTATATTTTCGTGTATTTTCTGCAGGGTCAGTGTTTGTGTATTGTTTATATGTGCCCCTCGAGGTGTTGAGGCGTGTGCCAGTCGTGCACGTGAGATATTTTTATATAGAGAGAAGTTGTTTATTTATGGATGTCAGGCTGTCCAACAACAACAGAAGGGGATATTCATTCAACCTTATGTCACTCAATAGTCAAGATGTCGCCGAAGTCTTAGGTTGAGTTGGACGGGGCATGAACATGGCTCTGTTTCTCAATGTGATCGTGGCACTACGCCTGTCACAGGTCCCGTACAATGCTTCAAAACATGAGATGTTTCTCTCAGACAGGAGCCAAACAGTCGGTTCTTTGACAACACGTTGTTTCCAGGACTATGCAGGGATTATTTACCAAAGATAAACAAGCCTTTGAAATACGCGCTATTTCGCAAGACCGAGGCTACTAAATTGTGCTGGGGACCAGTGAAAACGTTTCTTCTAGTTCTGTTGACAAGTCTTGAAAAAACCCACCGAATTTCTAAGGCTACAATCTGTTTCCGAAAATACAGGAAGCAAATACATAGTTCTCACGCTTTACCACACAATTCAACATTATCACGAATTGACAAATAGTATTTTTGGGGTATAAAAATGTTCCTCCTATCAGTCTGGGTACAATGTGTGAAGCCCATTTCTGGTGTCCCCCGCCGTGATATTGCTGGAATATTGCTAAAAGCGGCGTAAAACCATACTCACTCACTCCTATCAGTCAAAAGAATTGTATGTCTTGAAGCGAGTCGAACTTAAATCCGAGAAAATACCGAAAACACAGAATTTACAGTTGTGTTGGCTGAATCTCCCTACTCTAGACCCGCGAAGATCCAGGGTAGAATAGGTCTGCAGCAACTCATGCTTGTCTCCCCCCGTGAAGATCCAGGGTAGAATAGGTCTGCAGCAACTCATGCTTGTCTCCACCCGTGAAGATCCAGGGTAGAATAGGTCTGCAGCCACCCATGCTTGTCTCCCCCCGTGAAGATCCAGGGTAGAATAGGTCTGCAGCAACTCATGCTTGTCTCCCCCCATGAAGATCCAGGGTAGAATAGGTCTGCAGCAACTCATGCTTGTCTCCCCCCGTGAAGATCCAGGGTAGAATAGGTCTGCAGCAACTCATGCTTGTCTCCACCCGTGAAGATCCAGGGTAGAATAGGTCTGCAGCAACTCATGCTTGTCTCCCCCCATGAAGATCCAGGGTAGAATAGGTCTGCAGCAACTCATGCTTGTCTCCCCCCGTGAAGATCCAGGGTAGAATAGGTCTGCAGCAACTCATGCTTGTCTCCACCCGTGAAGATCCAGGGTAGAATAGGTCTGCAGCCACCCATGCTTGTCTCCCCCCGTGAAGATCCAGGGTAGAATAGGTCTGCAGCAACTCATGCTTGTCTCCCCCCGTGAAGATCCAGGGTAGAATAGGTCTGCAGCAACTCATGCTTGTCTCCCCCCGTGAAGATCCAGGGTAGAATAGGTCTGCAGCAACTCATGCTTGTCTCCACCCGTGAAGATCCAGGGTAGAATAGGTCTGCAGCCACCCATGCTTGTCTCCACCCGTGAAGATCCAGGGTAGAATAGGTCTGCAGCAACCCATGCTTGTCTCCCCCCGTGAAGATCCAGGGTAGAATAGGTCTGCAGCAACCCATGCTTGTCTCCCCCCGTGAAGATCCAGGGTAGAATAGGTCTGCAGCAACTCATGCTTGTCTCCACCCGCAAAGATCCAGGGTAGAATAGGTCTTCAGCAACTCATGCTTGTCTCCCCCCGTGAAGATCCAGGGTAGAATAGGTCTTCAGCAAATCATGCTTGTCTCCCCCCGTGAAGATCCAGGGTAGAATAGGTCTTCAGCAACTCATGCTTGTCTCCCCCCGCGAAGATCCAGGGTAGAATAGGTCTGCAGCAACTCATGCTTGTCTCCCCCCGTGAAGATCTAGGGTAGAATAGGTCTGCAGTAACTCATGCTTGTCTCCCCCCGTGAAGATCCAGGGTAGAATAGGTCTGCAGCAACTCATGCTTGTCTCCACCCGGGAAGATCCAGGGTGGAATAGGTCTGCAGCAACTCATGCTTGTCTCCACCCGTGAAGATCCAGGGTAGAATAGGTCTGCAGCAACTCATGCTTGTCTCCAGCCGGGAAGATCCAGGGTAGAATAGGTCTGCAGCAACTCATGCTTGTCTCCCCCCGTGAAGATCCAGGGTAGAATAGGTCTGCAGCAACTCATGCTTGTCTCCACCCGTGAAGATCCAGGGTAGAATAGGTCTGCAGCAACTCATGCTTGTCTCCCCCCGCGAAGATCCAGGGTAGAATAGGTCTGCAGCAACTCATGCTTGTCTCCACCCGTGAAGATCCAGGGTAGAATGGGTCTGCAGCAACTCATGCTTGTCTCCCCCCGTGAAGATCCAGGGTAGAATAGGTCTGCAGCAACTCATGCTTGTCTCCCCCCATGAAGATCCAGGGTAGAATAAATCTGCAGCAACTCATGCTTGTCTCCCCCCGTGAAGATCCAGGGTAGAATAGGTCTGCAGCAACTCATGCTTGTCTCCCCCCATGAAGATCCAGGGTAGAATAGGTCTGCGGCAACCCATGCTTGTCTCCCCCCGCGAAGATCCGGGGTAGAATAGGTCTGCAGCAACTCATGCTTGTCGTAATAGGCGATTAACGGGATCGGGTGGTCAGGCTCGCTGACTTTGGTGATACATGTCATCGATCCCAATTGCATGGATCGATGCTCATGATGTCAATCACTGGATTATCTGGTCCAGACCGCCGTCATATAGCTGGAAAATAGTACTACGTTAAACAACAAACAAACAAACAAAACCTCCCTACTCCGGGAAGCAGGCGCCGCAATTCGCTGTGCAGAGTTGCCTCCCTTGGGCACTCCAGAAACTTATGTTTGTGGGTTCGAATCCCAGTTCGCGCCAATTATGTGTCTAGGTTTGTCAGCACCATACCCGTGCTCGTGGGTTTCACCGAAGTGGTAAACGTCTGAGACCTGCATCACTTCGGGCTTTCCTTCCACATTAAGCTGACACGCCGCGATATAACTGGAATACTGTTAAAAGCGGCGTTAAGCCCAACTCACTCTGCTATGACGCTATACCAATATTAAGGAATCGTTTGTTCTTATCTTCTTGTGAGTAGTATACTTGGATACTAGGGTGGACTAATTTGGCAGTGATTAACTTCCATTACAGATCTATACCTTTCTTTGGGTCTCAGATTTATCTCATTTCTGAGTCTCTGTCAGCCCCGTCACCGTACTCGTAGGGACCGCCTCCGTGGTCTAGTGGTAGAGCGTCCGCCCGGAGAGCGGAAGGTCTGGGTTTCGATCCCCGGCCGCGTCATACAAAAAGACGTTAAAAGATGGTACTTGTTGTTACCCTGTCTGGCGCTTGGCATTTAAGGGGCTAAAACAAGGACTGGTCGGCTCGGAGTCAGTATACCGTGTCTGAGTGGGGTATTCATGTTAAACTGCGGCATGGTATCTCGGTGAGCTAGCACTATAAATCGGCATCAGTCCGGACTAGTACAAGCAGCCACACAAACACACACGTACATGCACGTCGCTATATAAATGCAATAATCTTGGACGCGACGTTAAACCCCACTTCACCTCAGCTGTACTCGTATGGTACCCGCTTGTTCAGCCGTCACCCCTATTTATGACCGGCATGAAACTGGGACAACAGAATATTTTTCAGTTTTCTGTACTGTTTTAGGATTGTTGTTTTCGAATATTTTAATTGTTTATGATGCATGTGTTTAGTGAAATACTGCGAGAGACTATCACACATACTCGTGCACGTTCCGTTCAGACGCAATCGGAATCTCATTCGTAACAAGCGTTCCATTCCGACTCGGAAACGTATATATACATTTCAACAGCCCTTAAACTATGAGGCATATGGAACTGAAACTTGTATCAATGATCCTAGTTTCAAAGATTTGCTCTCATAATTCCGAACCGTGTCTTTAAACGTGTGGGGCGGTCGGGTAGCCTGGTGGTTAAAGCGTTCGCTCGTCACGCCGAAGACTCTGGTTCAATTCCCGACATGGGTACAATGTGTGAAGCCCATTTCTGGTGTCCCCGCCGTGATATTGCTGGAATATTGCTAAAAGCGGCGTAAAACCATACTCACTCACTCACTTTAAACGTGTATGGCCTCAATTATTCCTTCATTATTCAGGTGAGCTACAGATATTTATGGCCCTATTTGGTTGCATCATACGGAGTTAATTTCCTGTTTCAAAACCACAAGGGTGCTCGGGTAGCCTAGTGGTTAAAGAGTATGGTTTTACGCCGCTTTTAGCAATATTCCAGCAAAGTCACGGCGGGGGACACCAGAAATGGGCTTCACACATTGTACCCATGTCGGGAATCGAACCCGGGTCTTCGGCGTGACGAGCGAACGCTTTAACCACTAGGCTACCCGACCGCCCCTGGTTTTTTTCTTTGGTCGATATATCCATGGACATAATAACGATGAAAAATATTCACGAATGTAAAAAGTATTCAAGTTAGTTTATGAAACACCTGTACTTTCATTCCCGAGATACGCATGTTACCATTTCACGTGTTTCTGGTTTGTTGTTTGTTAATGATGTTTTATTTATGTTTACGTTCAAAGGCTTTCGGTTTTGGAAGGCTCTAGCGCTTAGCGTTGCCAAGATAAAAGTCCACCTACTGGTTTCTATGCTCTATCATTATATCTATTCTGCCTCGGTAACATTCCTAGCCAGTTGTGGAAGGGTGAATTGTGTTTGATGCCGCTGTCAGGGTAGATATGCTGGTAGCTAAATCGGGGAAGATACAGTGGGTATAGCGTTAGCCCCGTGAGCTGTAGGTCTGTGTTTGGATCCCTCGGCCGCCTCTGTGGTGTAGTGGGTACAGCGTCAGCCCGGACAGCTTAAGGTCGGTGTTTGGATCCCTCGGCCGCCTCCGTGGTGTAGTGGGTACAGCGTCAGCCCGGACAGCTGTAGGTCTGTGTTTGGATCCCCTGGCCGCCTCCGTGGTGTAGTGGGTACAGCGTCAGCCCGGACAGCTGTAGGTCTGTGTTTGGATCCCTCGGCCGCCTCCGTGGTGTAGTGGGTACAGCGTCAGCCCGGAGAGCTGTAGGTCGGTGTTTTGATCCCCTGGTCGCTTCCGTGGTGTAGTGGATCCAATGTCAGCCCGGAGAGCTGTAGGTCGGTGTTTGGATCCCTCGGCCGCCTCCGTGGTGTAGTGGATCCAATGTCAGCCCGGACAGCTGAAGGTCGGTGTTTGGATCCCCTGGCCGCCTCCGTGATGTAGTGGGTACGGTGTCAGCCCGGAGAGCTGTAGGTCTGTGTTTGGATCCCCTGGCCGCCTCCGTGGTGTAGTGGGTACAGCATCAGCCCGGACAGCTGTAGGTCTGTGTTTGGATCCCATACAGCTGTAGGTCAGTGTTTGTATCCCTCGGCCGCCTCCGTGGTGTAGTGGATCCAATGTCAGCCCGGAGAGCTGTAGGTCGGTGTTTGGATGCCCTGGTCGCCTCCGTGGTGTAGTGGATCCAGTGTCAGCCCGGAGAGCTGTAGGTCGGTGTTTGGATCCCTCGGCCGCCTCCGTGGTGTAGTGGATCCAATGTCAGCCCGGACAGCTGTAGGTCGGTGTTTGGATCCCCTGGTCGCCTCCGTATTGTAGTGGGTACAGCGTCAGCCCGGACAGCTGTAGGTCTGTGTTTGGATCCCCTGGCCCCCTCCGTGGTGTAGTGGGTACAGCATCAGCCCGGACAGCTGTAGGTCGGTGTTTGGATCCCCTGGTCGCCTCCGTGTTGTAGTGGGTACAGCGTCAGCCCGGACAGCTGTAGGTCTGTGTTTGGATCCCCTGGCCGCCTCCGTGGTGTAGTGGATCCAATGTCAGCCCGGACAGCTGTAGGTCGGTGTTTGGATCCCCTGACCGCCTCCGTGGTGTAGTGGGTATAGCGTCAGCCCGGACAGCTGTAGGTCTGTGTTTGGATCCCGTACAGCTGTAGGTCAGTGTTTGGATCCCTCGGTCGCCTCCGTGGTGAAGTGGATCCATTGTCAGCCCGGAGAGCTGTAGGTCGGTGTTTGGATCCCCTGGCCGCCTCCGTGGTGTAGTGGGTATAGCGTCAGCCCGGACAGCTGTAGGTCGGTGTTTGGATCCCTCGGCCGCCTCCGTGGTGTAGTTGATCCAATGTCAGCCCGGACAGCTGTAGGTCGGTGTTTGGATCCCCTGGCCGCCTCCGTGGTGTAGTGGGTACAGCATCAGCCCGGACAGCTGTAGGTCTGTGTTTGGATCCCCTGACCGCCTCCGTGGTGTAGTGGGTATAGCGTCAGCCCGGACAGCTGTAGGTCTGTGTTTGGATCCCGTACAGCTGTAGGTCAGTGTTTGGATCCCTCGGTCGCCTCCGTGGTGAAGTGGATCCATTGTCAGCCCGGAGAGCTGTAGGTCGGTGTTTGGATCCCCTGGTCGCCTCCGTGGTGTAGTGGATCCAATGTCAGCCCGGAGAGCTGTAGGTCGGTGTTTGGATCCCCTGGCCGCCTCCGTGGTTCGTGTCCTGAATTTAACGCGTTTAACATGTTTGTGAAAATATTGCAGAAAGAAAATTGCTTGTTTTGAAGTTTTGTTTCAAGGGTATTACTAGTTCATTCCACTGTGATTAATTCCCTGGATCGCTACCATAGCTTCGTTTGGAACCCGATTCTATCTTAAATACAAAAGTCCAAAGATGAGCTGTATAATTTACTCAACCAGTTTCGCTGCAATATATTATTGGCTGTGTTTGATATTCATTCCGTACGGGTACAATAAATTGATATTTATTGTGCGTTGTGATTTGTGCATTTTGAACTGCTTTATATTGATATAAATAAACGTTATTTACTGGCTGTGACTTTCTCTTTTATTGATCATAAGCATAAACATATAATTATTTAAATACTTGAATTCCTGTTCGATGAGGACTGGGGGCGTTCATGAAGCTGGCTCGCCGAAAATTGTAGCGGTGATTTGGGGCCGTCTGACGGCGAGTTCTAGAAGCGATTTTAGTACTACTGTTTATCGCTGCCCTCGGCAATATTCTAGCTGTATGACGGCGGTCTGCTCATAATCGAGTCTGGACCAGACAACCCAGTGATTGACATCATGAGTATCGATCTAGGCAATTGGGATACGATGACATACATCAACCAAGTCAGCGAGCCTGACCACCCGATCCCGTTAGTCGCCACTTGCTACAAGAACGTTTTACAGACGACCAATTCTAAGGCAATTCTAACCCGGATCTTTACGGGAGATAAGCGTTGGTTTCTTTAGACCAATTCTAACCCGGATCTTTACGGGAGATAGGCGTTGGTTTCTTTAGACCAATTCTAACCCGGATCTTTACGGGAGATAGGCGTTGGTTGCTAAAGACTAATTCTAACCCGGATCTTTACGGGAGATAAGCGTTAGTTGCTAAAGACCAATTCTATCCCGGATCTTTACGGGAGATAAGCGTTAGTTGCTAAAGACCAATTCTATCCCGGATCTTTACGGGAGATAAGCGTTGGTTGCTAAAGACTAATTATAACCCCGATCTTTTCGAGAGAAAAGCGTTGGTTGCTAAAGACCAGTTATAACCCGGATCTTTACGGGAGATTAGCGTTGGTTTCTATAGATCAATTCTATCCTGGATCTTTGCGGGAGATAAGCGTTGGTTGCTAAAGACCAATTCTATCCCGGATCTTTGCGGGAGATAAGCGTTGGTTGCTAAAGACCAATTCTATCCCGGATCTTTGCGGGAGATAAGCGTTGGTTGCTAAAGACCAATTCTAACCCGGATCTATGGTAGATAAGCGTTTGTTTCTATAGACCAATTCTATCCCGGATCTTTGCGGGAGATAAGCATTGGTTGCTAAAGACCAGTTCTAACCCGAATCTTTACAGGAGATAAGCGTTGGTTGCTAAAGACTAATTCTAACCCGGATCTTTACGGGAGATTAGCGTTGGTTTCTATAGACCAATTCTATCCCGGATCTTTACGGGAGATAAACGTTGGTTGCTAAAGACTAATTCTAACCCCGATCTTTACGGGAGATAAGCGTTAGTTGCTAAAGACCAATTCTATCCCGGATGTTTACGGGAGATAAGCGTTGGTTGCTAAAGACCAATTCTATCCGGATCTTTACGGGAGATAAACGTTGGTTGCTAAAGACTAATTCTAACCCCGATCTTTACGGGAGATAAGCGTTAGTTGCTAAAGACCAATTCTATCCCGGATCTTTACGGGAGATAAGCGTTGGTTGCTAAAGACTTATTCTAACCCGGATCTTTACGGGAGATAAGCGTTGGTTGCTAAAGACTAATTCTATCCCGGATCTTTACGGGAGATAAGCGTTGGTTGCTAAAGACCAATTCTATCCCGGATCTTTACGGGAGATAAGCGTTGGTTGCTAAAGACCAATTCTATCCGGATCTTTACGGGAGATAAGCGTTGGTTGCTTAAGACCAGTTCTAACCCGAATCTATACGGTAGATAAGCGTTGGTTGCTAAAGAATAATTCTAATCCCGATCTTGACGGGAGATAAGCGTTGGTTTCTAAAGACCAATTCTAACCCGGACCTTTACGGGAGATAAGCGTTGGTTTCTAAAGACTAATTCAAACCCGGATCTTTACGGGAGATAAGCGTTAGTTGCTAAAGATAAGCGTTGGTTGCTAAAGTCACTTTTTGCAGGATTCTGTGAATTTCATGCAGTTGTGGAAAATCGGAAAAACAGGATTTGGGGGAACTGTTTGAAATGATTATTACATAAATACCGGTGTGGACCAGAGCAAGGATGTAGCATCAAAAAGAACATCATAGAAATGCCGAGACTCACACAAGAGGAACGTGACAGAGCTATTGGTATGACCGATATGGGGGCCTCTCAACGGCAGATTGCAAAAAAAACAAACAGTATCAGCAACTTGTTGAGCCGTTATCAGCAAACAGGCCCGACACAAGACCATCCAAGATCTGGAAGACCAAGGGTCACAGCGCCAGTTGAAGGCCGCCACATCCGGACAATCCACCTGCTTAACCGATTAGTGACGGCGACGTCAACGGCGGCGACAGCACTGGGACACCCCATCATCAGACGAACAATCTTACGACGACTCTGCATTGTTGATATCAGAGCCTACCGCCCCTTCGTAGAATGGCCTTGATCCCTGAACGCAGACGAGAGAGGCTTGAACTTGTTCCGAAATGATGGCCGAGTCCGTGTTTATCGACGTAGTGGAGCGACTGGCAACTAACTGCATCCAAGATGTGCACCCTTATGGTGGAGACGGCGTGGTGTGGGGCGGTATTTTCGGTCAGTCGCCAACAGATTGTCATCATCCGTGGGAATCTGACTGGCCAAGGATACAGAGTGAGTGAGTGAGTTTGGTTTTACGCCGCTTTTAGCAATATTCCAGCAATATCACGGCGGGGGACACCAGAAATGGGCTTCACACATTGTACCCATGTCGGGAATCGAACCCGGGTCTTCGGCGTGACGAGCGAACGCTTTAACCACTAGGCTACCCGACCGCCCCCAAGGATACAGAAACCAAGCGACTTGTGCCATTCCTACGTGGAGAGCCAAGGGTTACCCTTTTGCAGCAGGGAAATGCACCTGATACCGCCAGTCTTGTTCAGCAATATCTGCACAACGTTAACGTCAACGTATTGCCTTGGCCAGCATGTTCTCCAGACATGAATCCCATAGAGCATCTCTGGGATCATGTTGATCGACAGCTGAGGCAATGCGTACCTCCCCCAGCAAACAGACAGCAGCTTGAACAGGTTTAAAAGGATGAGTGGCGCAGAATTCCTGCTGACGTCATCCGGCAATTGACGACATCCACGAGGAGACGTATTTTGGCGTGCATTGATACAGGGAGTGGTCACACACGCTACTAAGGACATGTCTTGTCACAGGATTTGACTTTGTCAGCACCTTTTTGAGTAGACTCTGTTTGACTCGTGATAATGTATTTTTTTTATTTTGACCCCATATCTCTTTCGCTCGGCCTAATGGCAAGTGCATTATCGATGTAGCATTGCAATTTGGTACAGACTTTAGGGAAATGATTCCTTTCATTAAAATATTCATCATATAGTTAACACCTGTCTTTGTTTCTGTTCAGAGCTACTGAACAAAGTGATACGTTTCTTTTGCCCGGTAGTTTACTACCGGGATGTACGTTTTTAATTTCCCTTCTCCTCCGCTTTTTCTGTAATGCAATAGCTCTAAATGAAGCAAGTCTAGATTTTCCTCAGGTTCGGCAGGCTCGGATACGTTTTCAATTGAAATTGAGTTATTTGTTTCTATCAAAATTACAGTAAAATACGTTTATAACGACCACGCTTATAACGAACTGACAGATATAACGAACTTATTTTTGGTCCCAGCCATTTGCTGTATATTTGTTGTATATATGCATATAACGAACTACGGTTATAACGAACTATAATTAGCGGTCCAATTGAGTTCGTTATAACCGTAGTTTACTGTATTATTTTCCAGAGTTTAGTTTGTCTAAACACTGCGTCATTAACCGTGGAGCTTCTTCAGCGTGTGGGGGCGGTCGGGTAGCCTAGTGGTTAAAGCGTTCGCTCGTCACGCCGAAAACCCGGGTTCGATTCCCGACATGGGTACAATGTGTGAAGCCCATTTGTGGTGTCCCCCGCCGTGATATTGCTGGAATATTGCTAAAAGCGGCGTAAAACCATACTCACTCACTCACTCTTCAGCGTGTGTACACGTGTTTCCTGGCTGAATGCAGGCATCGCGTACACGTGGAGTCTAGTGCTGTAAATAGGTCACAGAGATACATGCGAACATGTGCCAGATACAGTTAACCGAAACAGCATAAAAGTAGAATTATGCGAACATGGCATATGTACTGAAAATGTCGTAAACAGTACGGTTGCAATCAGACACTGGGAACGGCTGCTATCATTCGGCACTAAACAACAACAACAACAGCAGTTTAAACAGGTCAACAAAGACATTTTTTTTATTCTACACGGATACTAAATCCACGTGCAAATAAATGCGAAGCCTCATGCCTAAGACCTCATGGGTTAGCACATGAGCTTCCCAACGGTCAAAACATTAATAAATAAAAAACTAAAATATGTATTCATAATCAGTTCAGGAGATAAACCTAACTGTAGATTAGATCCCTCTTATTCAATTTTGAGTCAAGCGCTTTTGTGTGAAGATACCATGGTCCCAAAGTCATCAATAACAGTAGAAACACAAATACTAGATCTAAGTCGCAATCGGCAAGGAGGAAAACCTACACAGTTTTCATGGTAAGGTTTCGAACGTAAGATTCTACCACGCACGTGCTCTCATTACCAGGTCAGTGTCGGATAATTTACCTCTAGACGTGTATATTCCAGTCACGTGACCTACACGGTATGTGCACTGATGATAGTCACAAAGCACAGGACGCACGTTCTGCGTTACTAAATGACACAAAACATTTGATGCTCCGTGTTTACCCTGTGTTCATGGTACACGACATGGAGTCCGTACTAGGAAATACATACATACAAGTTCTTTACACTTTAGAAAGATAGAGGGAACCAGTTATTAGTTTAGATACCGAACTGCCCAAGCTGTGGGATTTTCAATTCATTCCATCGACGGTTTGATAAATAAAACTAAAAAGGTATAGTGGGGGGTCTCAAAAACAAAACCGGGACGTAAAAGGATACTAGACAGCTTTGATACAGGGTGACTAGGTGTATAGTGTACAAGCTTTATGAGCAGAAGGTATCCCAGTTGACCGAGCAGTTTTCAGGGGGAAATATTCCATCCTGTCTGAGGTCACATATTTCCGGACCATTCATTACTATCACAGTCA